GCAGAGTCGCGACCTGCTCACCGCCCACACAAGTTTGTATTCTGACAAGGCTCAGAGACGCCTCCATGCGGGAACGGGTGCTACCCAGTCTAATGAACTCTGTTTCAACCTTGTCGTCTGAAGGCAAACCTTGTCCAAGGTGACTCCATCGACAGACCGTGCGAGCAGGAGTCGGATGTGCAAGCGCCCAACTCGTGACATCTTCTGGTCTGGTTAGCGGAACGCTTCAGAAAGTCTAGTGACGCAAACGCGGACGCTAATTATTTGGGCGCGTCTGACTGGGATCCCTCATCGGTCAAATCCTGGTCGATGCCTGCATAACAGGTGCGCCTCGCAAAACAACCACCCAACCGTTCTCCGCTTCTTCGCTCGTCGCCAGATCAAGGTCACTTGCCGAGGGGTTGCCTGAACTCGTCGGCGCACCTGCGGCCCAATGACTGGACGAGTGGTCTAAGGGTCTGGCTCTGTGGCGTGCTGCGGGTGATGTGGTCCATCTCAACACCGATGGCAAGATTTACCAATCACCCGCCCTCCTTGCTTCACTACCGTTGATCTACGTAAAGCTGGCACCCAATCCTGCAAGAAACAATTCCACCTCGGTAACGACCAAGAACAAACCAATGCTTCGACGGTCACGGCCTCCTTCTGTCCAGTTCAACCTTCTCCGCTTCCAGGATCAAATGGTGCAGAATAGTGCGGCACTGCCGCGCTACATGACTCAGAGCTGGAAGCGTTCTTCGCGTTGCATGCTGCTCGTGGACGGCTTCCACCCCGTTCGTGGACTTGACGAACTCGTCGGCAATGCTAACAAGACAGGGTCTAAATATGAAAATGGCCGTGCTGATTTTGCCGAAGTCGTTCCTAGCTTTCCTGTGCATGAACTTGGCGCCGATGGTTGAAGAGTTCCCCGTCCAGGATATTCCACCCCGCGCCATAATCATCGATATTAGTTGTGCCTCTCGCGTCGGAAGTAAGCCTCTTATCGTGCGCGGTGGCCCTGGGCGTACCATACACCTGGAAACTCCCTGATGTGCATGGCTGGCTCATTACTGGTGGGCACGAGGCTTTCGATGTGGTTGACCTTCATGATCCAGACATCGTGCTCGTCTAGGCGAAGGTCGCTTGTGCTGCGCAAATGACTCTTCTGACTGCACAATGCTGAGCTAACGGAGCGCGTCTCCGTATGACTGAAACATGAATCATCGTAGATCTGAACGTCGTGGTGGCGGACAATGCTGCCGTCGATCTGGAACACCGCGCGCACTTCGCCCGCACTCTTGAACTGCTTCCCTCACCCTCGCCAGAAGTTGCGCGCCTCCTGGTTGGCGCGCAGGGCCGCTCCCAGAGCAACAACTACGTTCAGGTTCCAGTCAACCTCGGAGAAGGGTGTTACATAGCCTGGAGCGGCGACAATTAAGCCTTTCGGCTGACCCCGAGAGCTCAGGCTCTCACTATCAAGACCAACGCGGCGCCACTTCGGGTTCGCCCTTTACTGGAGCAGCGACGGGATCAGGCGCTGCTTGACCGTCAGCGGGAGTAACATTCGGAGGCGGTGACTTCGGCGCTGCTTTTGCAGCTGGTGCCGCTGCTGGAGCGTGGACACCTACGGGCCCCTGTGCAAGCCCATGCGCCCGGCATCCTCCGCTCGCCGCGCATACGCATCCGCCTTCGGTGACCGGTGCTCCGCCGCGAGCTTCCGTCTTGGTTGCCGGGCTCGGCTTCATCGTGAGCCTTCCTCGCACTTGACTCAGCACGAGTTGTGCCAGTTGCAGGTGACACTTGTCTTCCTCCTCTCCCTCCTTTCCATTGGGCACGCGGAACTCATGCGCCAAGGAGGCACGCCTTCGAAACGGTCTGCCCCGGCGCGCCTGTGTAACAATCTGTCCAGGCACGCCTTTGAAACGGTTTGTCCTGGCGCGCCTGTGTCTGTTCCATCTGGCCGTGCCCATTTTTCAGCGTTGCCATCTCGCGGTAACCACACGCCCGTGTTGGCGGGCACGTTGTGTGACCCCTCTCGGGAGCCCTCGGGAGAAGCCCACGGGAGCCCAACGGGGCTGGTGTGACCCCGTGTTGGCCCCGCTACCCAACGGGGCTGGTGTGGCCTCGTGCTGGCCATGACAGCCGCCCCAGTACAGAGCCCTTGTGACGCGAGCAAAATGGATGGTTCCGTCTGGTCCGCCATGCCAGCGGTAATGACCGTCAGCGAGTGCGTTCGCAGCGAGGCCCCGACAGCAGGTCCGCCACGACGCTGGCCTGCGCGAGCTGCTCGGCTGGTCAAGGACACCCGCGGACCTCTCTCGCTTTCTCTCCCTCTGCCGCGTGTCGCTACTCCTTCCCCTCCTCCTCCTCCTCCTCTTTTTCTTCTTCTTCTTCTTCTTCCTCCTCCTCCTCCTCCTTCTCCTTCTCCTCCTCCTCCTCCTCTGCTCATTTAAGTGTGCTGTTCTTGTAAAAGCTACGCGCTTCTGTTCTTCTATCTTCACCGCCGCCGCAGCCGCCGCGCGGAGGCTGCAGCGTGTGCGCGCTTCGCTTCTGCTTTGCCCGCGCGTTATGGTGTATGGCATAACTGACCGACTTTGCGGCCTTCGGGGCCGAGGCCAGACGGTCGGCTGGCTGACAGCGCATCCTTCGCCAAGCGGTTGTCGGCCCTTGCGAGCTCGGCGTCAGCCTCGATAGCGTAACGGAAGGCTGGGTCCAATGAGCAAACTTTCGGCAACTTATCCGCCTCGTTTTCTGCAATGACGACATGGTCCTTCACGGAGTGCGAACGGCTACGCCTGTGGTGGGATTTCCGTGAATGATCTTCGCGCATTCGGAGGCCAGAACTTAACGGCTCGTCGCCCATGCCCTGACCGGTCTCGCAACGGCTGTCCCTCTCAGCCCGAACCTCATTGACGGCCTCCCGCGCCGCGCTCCTCGTGCTCTTCACTCCTCCTTCCTCCTTCCTCCTTCCCGCTTCCTCCTTGCTCCTCCTCCTCCTCCTCCTTCTCCTCCTTCTCCTCTTCCTGGTCCTCTAGGCCGTGCACGGGGGAAACCGAAACCGACCGCAGTGAATAGGCCGAAAGCAGCCCGAAGGGCGCAGCGACGCAACCACGACAAAGTAACCGACCGAATCGAACCGACCCAACGCAACAGACTGCGACGCAACCGAACCGAGAAAACGAAGCGTAAACACCCTTGGCTCACTTTTTTTGCACTTTCGGTCGGTGGATCTCTCAAACTCTCCGCCGCCTCTGGCGGTGTGCGTTGCGAGCAGGAACGCAGCAGAGCCACAAAAAAAGCGCGGCACTGACAGTGTAGCTCCGCACACGTGACACATGTTAACGAGCAGGAGCGCAACAGGAACGAGCAGGAAGGCAACCGACGGCGACGCAACCGAACACCCTTGGCTCGCTCCTCGCCCCTCCCTCCGCCTCGCCTGCGAGCTCCTTGCGCCGGGCGGCAGCTGCCACTCCGTCGCGTTCGTGCGCTGGTTGTGGTAGTACGTCTGGCCGCCCGGGCCCGTGTACGATACCTCGGAGCGCGGACCGATGAGGCCACTCAGACGAAACCTGGACGGGGACAAAGTCGGGTGAGGATGAATCGAGAATCTCTGAGACCGGGCGGCTCTGGAAGATGTCTCAAGCGCCGCGGCCTTCTCAGAGCGTTCCGGAACGCTCTGAGAGCTTTCCGGAACGCTCTGGAACGGATTTATCCTCGTCCTTGCTGGAGGGTTTCTCCGAAGGGCTTAGGCGACCCGTCCTCCTCCTCCTCCTCCTCCTCCTCCTCCTCCTCCTCCTCCTCCTCCTCCTCGGGTCGCCTACGGCCCCGGCGGAAACCGTGCAGTCCCTGCCCCGTCTGAGCCACCCCGCGGCCCCCGAGAGTCCCCTGGGCAACTCCCGGCGAGCTCCGTGGGCTTCCGAGGGGAGAGGCCGGCCGGCGGATCGTGGGCGGCGGCGCTCGTGCACGAGACGCGCGGAGGCGCAGAACCAAACTGGCTGTTCACCATCCTGGGCCTCCAGGAGGCGGCTCTGGGCCCCAGGGCCGTCCCACAAAACGGCTCGGGATGATACATCGGCACGGGGGAGCGATCGAGAGGTCCGGGGGCCCATGTCTCGAGAAAGTCGAGCCGCAAGGCTTCTGGTCGGTCGATCCCCAGACCTCCTCGAGGCAACCACTTTGAAGCTTCTAGTCTTTCCGGGCCTCCAGGAGTGCCCTCGTCGCCATGCGTGGACTCTCCCTTCAAAATTATGACCAGAGCGCCTTCTCGGACAAATCCTTGGGGCCGATTGTGAGGGGGAGGGGGGGAGGGAGGGATGGAGGGAGGGAGGGAGGAGGGAGGGAGAGCTGGAGGGAGGGAGGAGGGAGGGAGGGGGGAGGGAGGGAGGGAGGGAGGGAGGATGAGGATGAGGAGGAGGAGGAGGAGGAGGAGGAGGAGGAGGAGGAGGAGGAGGAGGAGGACCGAGACCTCCGGCATGTCGAAGAAAACCTCGACGGCCGATTTGGCCTCCGAAGGCCGTTCCTGGGCGCTGGGGCCCGCGCAAAGAGCGACCCGTGACAAAGACACCGGTCCTGGTGACGGGGGCCGGGGAGAGAGGAGAAGGCTCCCGCGCGAGCGGACCACCGCCTGGGGTGAGCTGGCCCGAGGGCGCTTCGAAGTGCACCCGCAGCTGGCCCTGAAGCCAGGGCTGAGGCGCGCAGAGAATGACCCAGAGCCCCGACGTCGTGATCTTTTGGCAACGTCGACCCCCAAAGGTCCGGACCCCTCCCCCAGGACCGATTCTCTCTCTCTCTCTATATATATATATATATATATCCCGAATGGTTTCTTTACCGTCTGGAGGCCTGGCAAGGGCCCCTCGGCTGCCGAAGATAGCGCAGAACCTCCCGTCGTGTTTTTTTTTCACAGCGCACGGGGTCAGGGGAGCGGGCTGACCTCGGAGCAGGCGCGGGCAGCAGCACATCGTGGAGCGGCGCCGCAGCCTCCCCCGGAGCCGCAGCAAGACAGGTCGGGCGAGGGGGAGAAGTGAGAAGGCGAAGGCCTTCTCAGACGGCGGCGGGACTGCTCAGAAGCCCTCGCGCCTTCTGGGAAGTGTTTTGTGTCTTCGGGCAAAGCTTAGAGCACTTCGCAGAAGGCCCAGGGGACTTCCGAGCCTTCTGAGAAAGCCCGCCCCTTCTCACTTCCCCCACGGGCTCGCTGTCGATTCTTGCTGCACTCCGGGCGCGTCCAGGGGTACCGCAGCGCCCGCGCCGCAAAAAGGGAAACGCTGTCGGAGCTATGGCCCTCGCATGACCTTCCAGCAGGGTTGGGTAACAACACCGTTCCTGGAACCGAATTTCAGGTCGAGATCTTAAGCTGCCCCGACAGGTGTAGTCCCCTTGTTGCCACATGGGACGCTGAAAAAGGAGCACCCCTCCTCTTGGCGTCAACAACTTTGTGGGTGTATGAGGGCTGCTGGAGGCACAATCATGAAAAAAAACACCTCAGGAACAGCGAGCCCCTTCTAGACTCGAACTGTTCCTTATTTCAGCGTATGGAGGGCTACCTTGTACCTTTCCGAGAAGAAGAAAAACCGCATAAACATAAACTTTTGGCGCTCCGCGCGGATTTTCTCGGATTCGCGGTGGACCCCCTCCCTGGCGCGCGGAGCGCGCCAGGGGCGCCGCTGGAGGCGCCGCGGGGGGGCCCAGGCGCGGATCCAAGAAATCAGCGGAGCGCCAACAATTTATGATTATGCGTTTTTTTTCTTCTTCGATTTCCGGAAGGCCCAGGTCACCTCCTCCTCCTCCTCCTCCTCCTCCTCCTCCCCCTCCTCCTCCTCCGCCTCCTCCCTCCCCCTCCTCGTCTCTCCTCCTTCTCCTCCTCCTCTCCTCCCCTCCCCTCCCTCCTCCTCCTCCTCCCCTTCCTCCTTCCTCCTCCTCCTCCTCCTCCCCTCCTCCTCTTCCTCCCCGCCTCCTCCGCCTCTCCTCCTCCTCCTCCTCCTCCTCCTCCTCCTCCTCCTCCTCCTCCTCCTCCTCCCCTCTTCCTCCTGCTCCTGCTCCTCCTCCTCCTCCTCCTCCTCCTCCTCCTTCCCCTCCCGCCCCTCGCTCCTCGCTGCCCTCCTCGCCCTGCTCTGCTCCTCGTGGTCAGGCTGCGCGACGGGCGCACGTTGACGACCGCCCCGCCCCGACCGCACCCCTCGCGCGCGCACGTCGCGCGCGTCGCGAGGGCCACGGGCCGACCCGGCAGGCCGGGTGGAGCGACCTCGATCGCGTGACGACCCGATCACCGTGGCCAGTGATCGCCGACTGCAGGAGGAGGAGGAGGAGCAGGAGGAGGAGGAGGAGGAGGAGGAGGAGGAGGAGGAGGAGGAGGAGGAGGAGGAGGAGGAGGGAGGAGGAGGGAGCAGGAGCAGGAGGAGGAGGAGGAGGAGGAGGAGGAGGAGGAGAGGAGGAGGAGAGAGGAGGAGGAGAGAGGAGGAGGAGGAGAGGAGGAGGAGGAGGAGGAGGAGGAGGCGGAGGAGGAGAGGAGGAGGAGGAGGAGCAGGAGCAGAGGAGGAGGAGGAGGAGCAGGAGCAGAGGAGGAGGAGGCAGAGAGGAGGAGGAGGAGGAGGAGGAGGAGGAGGAGGAGAGGAGGAGGAGGAGGAGGAGGAGGAGGAGGAGGAGGAGGAGGAGGAGGAGGAAGGGGCCCTGGGACACACAAACAAATACACACAAAGAGCAGGATCCCCCATATCCTCTCATATTTTCTGGGTTTTTGTCTTCCCCCCCCACCTCCAATATTTTCCCATATTTTCCTGGGAATCGACGATTAATTGTGTCTGTGTGTTTATTTCCCTCCTGAGAGGACCCCGAGGAGGAGTGAGCAGGGTCGAGGACGGCGAGAAGGTCTGGTTCAGGAAGGGCGACTTCGACCGCTGCTGGGGCGCCTCGGGTCGTGCTGGAGCGCCGAGGGTCTGGCTGGGGGGGCCTCGAGTCCAGCGAGACCGACCTTGTCCGACGAACCCTCCTGGCAGCCTCCGACAGGACAAGACGCTCGGCGTCTCCTGGAGGTTTTCTGGCAGCCCCTGGCGCCCTCTTGTGGGGCTCCGGGGGGCCTTGTTCGGAAGATCCTGGAGCCGCCGGCTCCCGAAGCCGCTGGCCCCTGCCTCGGAGGGTCGGACATTCATCCTGAGCTGTTTGCTGGACGGTCCTGATGCCCACAGATGGCCTCGATGACGATGATGATGATGCTGATGCTGACGCTGATGCTGATGCTGCTGCTGCTGATGCTGATGCTGATGCTGATGCTGATGCTGATGCTGATGCTGATGATGATGATGATGATGATGATGATGATGATGATGATGATGATGATGATGATGAATGATGGAGGAGGAGAGGAGGATGACGATGGGGATGAGGATGATGATGATGATGATGATGATGATGAGGATGAAGATGAAGATGATGATGCTGCTGATGATGATGCTGATGATGATGATGCTGCTGCTGCTGATGATGATGATGATGATCATCATCATTATCAGGCGCCAGAGGCGATGAACAAAAATCTCTGGCGCGAGGTCTTCGAGTCGCCCGGAAGGTCTGCCAGGAGGCCTCCGGGGGGCCTTCCCAGATCGGCGGCCGCTGCGTGCGCTGCCCACTCGTCCTCCGGCGCAGCGGCGAGGGACCGCGGGGCCTGCGCCGCAGAGGAGGATGGAGAGGGGTAGATAGATAAAGAGAGAGGGAGAGAGAGAGGGAGAGAGAGAGAGAGAGAGAGATCGTCGTAGTCGTCGTCGTCGTCGTCGTCGTCGTCGTCGTCGTCGTCGTCGTCGTCGTCGTCGTCAACGTCGTCGACGTCGACGTCTGCGTCGTCGTCTCCATCGACGTCTGCGTCGACGTCTGCGTCGACGCCGCCTGCGTCGACGCCGCCGTCCGCGTCCTCGCCGTCGCCGCCGCCGTGGCCGCCGTGGTCGTCGCGCTGATCCTCGCCGTGGTCGTTGCCGCCGCCGCCGTCGCCGCCGCCGTGGCCGCCGTCGTCGCGCTCGATGGCCCCGCCGACGCCATCGCCGCCGCCGCCGCTCCCGCCGCCGCTCCCGCTGCCGCTCCCGCTGCCGCTCCCGCTGACGTCCCGCCGTAGCCAGTGTGTCTTTTTTATCTGCGTCGCGATCGTTCTCCGCGTCGGGGCTCGGGCAACGGTGAAGTCAACCCGTATAAGAAGGACGCACGATAAGGACGCAAGGGCCGTGGAGGGCCACGTCGACGCCCCGTGAGCGGGGCGCGGCCAGCGAAAGCGGCCAAGCATGGCCCGAGGGGGAAGGAGGCAAGGACAAACTTGGAGGCTCGCCCATCCCTGCTATGCGGGCTGACTGTAACGGTAACGCTGGGGCGGGGGGGGGGCACCTCGGGGCGGAGGTGCGCTGCGATCGCCATCCTGTTCGCGCGAGGCGAACACCACGCGATGCCCGCGAGCACAGCAGTTAAGCAGGGACCGACGGTCCCGGCACTCCTATAGGCCTACCACGACATGTTCTTCGAACCCACAGATGTTCTAAGAACAGAACCACTGCTCTTAGAACATCAAGCCGATGTGTTCAAACAAGACAGCCCCAGCCCGATATGTTCTAAGAACATCTCGTGCAGACCACAACAGGTTCTTAGCACATTCTTTGGTGGGCCTGTAGGCAAGCCAGTGCGCCTCGCCACTGCTTGAGGTTCAACCACCTCCGCAGCGCCTGGGAGCACCGGTCAGGACGCCTCTGCGAGCACCGGCAGGGCGCCTGCGGAGCACGTGCGAGCAACACACACACCACGTATGCCGTCGGGCGTACCAGCATGTGTGAAGGGGCCCTGGGACACACAACAAAATACACACAAATAGCAGGATTCCCCATACTGCCAAATATTTTCTGGGCTTCTGTCTCTCCCCCCACTTCCCATCTTTTCCCACACCTTCTGGGGGGATCGACGATTCATTGTGTCTGTGTTTTTTTCCCCTCCGGAATGTGGGGGAGCGGGTCCAGGCGCCCCGCCCACGCTCGATCGTTGCCGCTTCCCGGGGGGTGGGGCGGCACGGGCAGTGGAGAAGGTACCCAGGGACAAAAACAAATGAGCAGAAACAGGTCCCAGCAGTCCCCTCTATGTTTCCATGCTTCACTCGATGCTCGCCTTCCCCCCCCCACCTCCCGCCGCACTTCCCCCATCTCTTCCGCGGGGTGTGGGGGGGGGGGGGGGCGACGACCGATTGTGGATGCCTGTGTACCCTTCCCCTCCCGGGGAACGGCCGTTGCGCGCCAGAGAATCCCATCCCAAACACAAGCTCCGCCGCCGCCGCCGCGGCGCCTGCGCCGCGGGCGCCGCCGAGCCCGCCGCCGCCGCCGCCGCGGGGCCCGCGGCCGCCCGCGCTCTGCTGCGCTCCAGCCGGGCGGCGGCCTGCACGTCGCTCGACCTGGCCAGCCGGGCCCTGCCATCCGTCGTGCCCCCCCCCCTGTCGGCGGCGGGCCCCGGGGGGGAAGCCAAAAAGGGCGAGTCTTCTCGGAAGGCTCGGAAGGCCTCGGGCCGCGCTCGAAGACTTCTCCCCGAAGACACGAGGCGCTTCAGATCTCGACCAGAGGTTCGCTTCCAGGGACGGTGCTGCTGCCCAGCCCTGCGGGAAGGTCGTGCGAGGGCCAGTGGCTCCCCCGACGGCGGCGGGCCCTGGGGCAGCTTCAGATCTCGACCAGAAGTTCTTCAGTTTATGTGTATGCGTTTTTTTCTTCCTCTGGGAAGGGTGCAAGGTGGCCCTCCGCACGCTGAAATAAGGAACAGTTCGAGTCTGGAAGGGGCTCGCTGTTCCTGAGGTGTGTTTTTTCACGATTGTGCCTCCAGCAGCCCTCATACACCCACGAGGCTGTGGACGCCAAAACGAGGGGGTGCTCCTTTTTCAGCGTCGCATAAGGCAACAAGGGGACTACACCTGCCGGGGCAGCTTCAGATCTCGACCAGAAGTTCGCTTCCAGGGACGGTGCTGTTACCCAGCCCTGCGGGAAGGTCACGCGAGGGCCAATAGCTCCGACGGCGTTTCCCTTCTTGCTTCGCGGGCTCTGCAAAACCCCTGGACGCGCCCGGATTGCAGTCAGAAGCGACAGCGAGCACGTGGGGGAAGTGAGGAGGGGCGAGTCTTCTCGGAAGGCTCGGGAGTCCCCCGGGCCTTCTGAGAAGCGCTCGAAGCCTTCCCCGAAGACGCGAGGCGCCTCCCAGAGTGCGCATGGGGCTTCCGAGAAGCCCCGCCGCCTTCTGAGAAGGCCTTCTCCTTCTCGCTTCCTCCCCCTCGCTCGCCGCCGATCCTGCCTCCTCCTCCCGTCCCTCCCTCCTCTCCTCTCAAGCAGGCCGCTGGGGCGCTCGCTCGGGGCGCCAATGCCGCGGAGAGAACGCTTCCCGCCCGCGCCCGCGCCCCCGCGGCACCGCCCTGAGCTCCTCATCGACACCCTGAAGTATGCGGACAACCTCGAGGAACGCGCAGGATCACCGAGAGCGCGAGAAACAAGGTGAACAAGATGGCGGAAGGGGCGAGACGTCTCTCCCTCCGTCCTCTCCCTCATCCAGGCACCCTTCTAGTTCGAGGCTCCCTTTGCGCGGTTGCGAGGCAACCGCATGTCCTCGAGACAAAACGACTCCAGCCGCGATCCCGAACCGGACAGCGGTGATTCCCCTACGTCAGCAAAGGCTGGCGGGGGTCCAGCACAAGCTTCCCATGGCGACGAATCTCGTCCAGGCTTCCGGCAACACACCAACAGGCGTCGACATCAGCCACGAGGTCCAGGACATCAGCCATGACGAGGCCTAGACGACGCTCCGACCAGCTACAAGCGGTTGAAGACGGACGGCCCAAGATGACGACACCGACATCGACACGTGGATGGATGGGACTTGCGAAATCTCGATCAGCAAGACGGTCGATGCGCTGAACTACGCCGTCTACTGTCGCTTCGCCACGAACAGATGCGAGGAGGAGGCCCGACAATATGGCTTCGCCAACAACATGCTAGGCACCGGCCCTGCTCGACAAAATCACGGGCACGCGGCTCATGCGCATGGAGCGCTACGGCAAACTCCGCTCCAAGTCCCGCGATGAGTCATCCGTCCTGCTGGATGTGGAGACCGTCATCGGTCCCGCGGGGCACGTGTGTGGTGAGCCGCTGTCCAGGGCCATACCAGTGACCAAGGCCACAGCTCCAGCCGCAGATGACCAACCTGTGTCTGTGCGCGGGCGCAGAACATCGAGAACGGGATCACCGCCCGGGCAACCACACTATCGTGGCAAGGGCTACGAACAACAACTACACGCTTACCCAGCTGCGGATCAGTGGCGACCTCGAATGCATCAAAACTCAGGGTAACACTACGTTGGTCACGGTGAAGCTCAACAACTCCATGCGTGCGTTGACGTTCTCGGCCATATGATCAAACTGCGCAGACAATACACGCTTCTTTGACCTCGTTTACGGAATAACCCTGTATTCAGCAAGGTTGACGATGACACAAAAGCTGTGGATAGAGCATTGGGGAACACGTTCTTCGGTCATTTTCGTGCAAACCTCAGCTTCCTCGTCACTGGCGAGACTGGCAACGTTTCGCCTCGCATTCTACGAGCGAAAACGATCAAACTTGTCGAGAAAGAGGCACGGTGGCGACTACAACAGGGATTGAAGGGCCTTCCACGTGGATCTGGGTTCCTCCGTGCGTCCCCACGGGCCTGTGATACTGAGAGGCGCCTTGGCTCGCTGGCGTGCTCCTGTGTACGCTCAGTGTGTGCGTGACATCCTCAGGTTCCTAATGGCAAGCAGTTCACGCTCGAGTCAGATGACGCCTCCAGCTGCTGGACCACGTGAGTCCTCGAACTAAGCGGTTCTCGAGATGACGCCCGCGGAATCACGAATGCCTGCGACGGCGTACAGGCACATATAACTTCGTTCTGTGTGCCCCTCCCGCTTTTTTGTTGTGAGACGCCCCCGGTTGCACTTCCAGGCCTTCAAGCACTTCTAGAATTCCCGTATATGCCCGATGTCCTGCATGCCACGATTGCTCGCTACGACGGGTTGTCTGCCGTAGCAATCCTTGATCAATTCTAACTCAAACTCGCCTCGCCTCGCCTCGCCTTCCGGTGTGTCGGCCAATCAGGCCGCCGGGCCATCGGGTGGTGCAGGGAATCCTCCGCGTTTAACCTGGGGATCTGCAGGGGGATCGAAGAGCACCCCCGGCCGGCCCCCAGCACGACCCTTGATGGGGTCCCCAGGAAAGGGAGGGAGGCCAGGAGAGGGGGGAAAAGGAGGGACTGGAAGGGAGGGAGGCGAGGGATGGGGAACGAGGAAGGGGGGGGAGATGGGGAAAGGGGGTCCCAACCAGAGTCGTGCTGGGGGCCAGCCAGGAGGAGAGGAATGGAGGGTCGAGCTCCGATCGTGCTCGCCGCATCACCCTGCAACGCAGACAAAGACGGTGCAACGGAGAACGCGGCCACAGGTGGGTGGCCGCACCAGCGGTGGCGTCACGCGCCACTTAACGCATTTAGGCAAACCGACCCTCCTGGGGCCGCGCCAAAGCGCAGAAATAGCAATGGTGTGTCGTCGCTCCCCCCGAGGCGATGGTCGCCAGGAGGCCCAAAGGGCACCCTCTGGGGCCCGCCCCGGGGAAAAAGGCAACCCGTTTTCAAAATGTGGCTCTCGCCTTAGCGACGCGCGCATTTGTTTTTAACGATGTGCAAAAGATCCACGGACTGAGGGCGACCCGTTTTCAACGTGTGGCTCTGGCCTTAGCACCGCTCGCATTCGTTCCATATATATATATATATATATATATAGATACACACTTTATACATATATATGTATATATATATATACACACAAATTTCGCGGATTGAGGGCGCTTCCTTTTCAAAATGTGGCTCTCGCCCTAGCGCCGCGCGCATTCGTTGTGAAACCTTGCAGCCGCTTCACGGATTCCCATGACCAACGTACCAGAAGCAAGTTCTGGAAAAGCTCAAGATGAGAGGGTGCAGCAGTTGCGTTGACTCGCGGCGCTGGAGTGCCAAGAACGGCATTATGGTACGATTCCAAATCGTCGAGACGCAACAATCAAGTTGATCCGTGGCGTTGGAATCCCGAAAATAATGTTTTGGCATGCTTCAGGGTCTTCGAACGGTTGTGTTCCAACGAGGCAGTTCCCTGTGGAAATGAGCCGTTGAGGGGGCCAGTGAAGAGGGAGCTTGAAAGGGGGTTTATTCCAACATCTTTGATAACTCTTGGGTTAACACAGGCCCTCCTCCTCCTCCTCCTCCCCCTCCACCTCCTCCTCCTCCTCCTCCTCCTCCTCCTCCTCCTGCTCCTACAACTAAGCCGAAACGCAGCGCCAGTTTGTCGCGCCAGTGCCGACGCGGGTGGGGCGAACCCCGCGCCCTGCGACCCCCGGGAACGACAGGGGCCGCCGCGCTCCTGACGGGGCCCGAGACAGAGGAACAGCGGGACAGCGATTATATGTGTGTATCTATCTATCTATATATATATATATGTATGTATGTATGTGTGTGTATGTATGTATGTATGTATGTATGTATGTATGTGTATGTGTATGTGTATGTGTATGTGTATGTGTATGTGTATGTGTATGTGTATGTATGTATGTATGTATGTATGTATGTATGCATACATGCATGTATGTATGTATGTATGTATGTATATGTATGTATGTATGTATGTGTGTATATATATATGTATGTATATATATATATGTATATGTATATATATATATATATATATATATATATATATATAGAAGAAGCGCCAGGCTCACCGCGTAGAGCGCGATGAACACCGCCAGCCCGCCGAAGGAGGGCGGCCCCCATACCTCCCTGGCTCTTCCAACGCCAGGGGGCACAAATTAACCCGCGTCGCCGTGCGTGGCACGCGGCGCGTGTTTCCGCGCAAGGTAGGCCCGCAGGCTCCCTTGCCAAAACGGGGCCAGGCGGTAAACGTCTTGAACAATGCCCAAATCGCCGGCCCCCCCAGCCACATCCATGCCCCGCGACGTCACAGGAGGGCCACGACAATGGCTGGGGCTTGGCCCCACACATGCAGGTACCGCGCAGGCCGACGCGGACCGAGATCGGCGCCAGTTCCCCGAAGGACCTGAGACGGCATACCCATACCACAGCGGGACCACCGAAAGAGTACGGGGGCCCACCCAGGCCCGTCAGGGCACCGACGCCCCTGGCCCGCCGCGCCACCCCCGCACAGGCGACGTCTTGGCGGATCCCAGTTCACCCCAGGAGTCCCGACGTGCCGCCCACTCGCAAGGTGCTCTCCCCGTGGCGTTCTCCTCCTCCTCCGCCTCCTCCTCCTCCTTTTCTCCCTCTCTGTCCTCCTCCTTCCTCTTCGCCCATCCTTTGCCCCCGTCCTGCCCCCCCCCTCCCCACAGCCGTTCCCCCCCTTCAGTCCCCAGTCGGCCCACGCGCACACGGGCCCCCTGCTTTCCCGCCGGAGAGACCTCAGGCACCAGCGCAGGAACCGATCCGCCTTCAGCTTCAGGCTCACGCTCGGCGGCGGGCCCAGCGGGACGATGCCCTGCGGCCTCCACATCCCCTGCCCGCTGGGCGACCTCTGCGGCCCGCAAATCAGCTGCAGGTTCTCCAACAGGACGGCCTCGCCTGAGTGGAAGCAGGCCCGCAACAGCCGAGCGAGCGGAGGAGGAGGAGGAGGAGGAGGAGGAAGAGGAGGAGGAGGAGGAGGAAGACGAATGTAAACCCAAGACTCATCAACGATGTTGGAATAAACCCTCCCTCCGAGCTCCCTCTTCATATGCCTCCACAGAGGTTCATTTCCACAAAGAGAACTGCCTCGTTAGGATATTACCGAATGAAGACACTGAAACGTGCCAAAACGCCGTTCTCGGGACCCCAACGCTACGGCTCAACCTGACTGTTGCGTCTTGACGGTCCTGAATCGTGCCAGAATGCCTTTCCTGGGACGTCAATACCGCGAATCAGCGTAACTGTTGCGCTCTCGCCATCCTGAATCCTTCCATGAACATCATGTCTGGTACTTTGACCATGGGAAGCCGTGGAACTCTTGCAACTGTTCAAAACACATGTGCACACCACTTCTGCGAAAACAACATTTTGAAAACCACCAGCCCTTAATCCGCAATTCTCTTGCAATTGTTAAGACGAATGTGCGCGGCGCTAGGGCGAGAACCACATTTTGAAAACAACCCGCCCTCAACCCGTGAAGCTGTTGCAAATTATAAAAACGGGTATACGCGGCGCTACGGCGAGAACCACATTTTGAAAACCACCTGCCCTCAATCCGCGAAACCCTTGCACATCTTTATGGCGAGTTTGCGAGGCGCTAAGGCGAGAGCTACATCTTGATAGCGACCCGCCCTGAATCCGTGAAATTCTTGCACATGTTTTAGACGAGTGTGCGCGGCGCGACAGCGAGAACGACATTTTGAAAACCACCCGCCCTCAATCCGTGAAGCCTTTACATTTTTGGAAAAAATAAATCCGCGGCGCTGCGTCGAGTGCCACATTTTGAAAAAGACCCGACCTCCATTCGTGAAGCTGCTGCCACTTGTTAAGCTTCAAAATTAGAAATGGTGTGTCAAGCGAAACGCCCGGCCCGCCCTTTCGACTGGCCTCGGGGTGCGACAAAGAGGAATTAGTCATAAGGAAAAGGAATGGAGGAGGAGGAGGAGGAGGAGGAGGAGGAGGAGGAGGAGGAGGAGGAGGAGGAGGAGGAGGTGGAGGACGGGGAGGAGGAGGAAAAGGAGGAGGAGGAGGAGAAGGAGGAGGAGGAGGAGGAGGCGGAGACGACGTACGCGTTGAGGTCTGTCTGTGCAGCACGGGCTCTCGCAGGGTGGCGCTAGGGTCCATTTCAGGCGGAGGCCCCTTTACCACTTTCGCCACCTGTGGAGCCCGATTCAGCAGCAGAGCAGGCCAGATCGTGACTGTGTGCCCGGCGCTCGGGGGACCTCACCGTGCGCTGAAAAAAAAGAAGGGAAGAAAAAGGAGAGCGGAAAGCGACCGATAGGGCGCTCGGCACTGAGAAAGGAGGAGGAGGAGGAGGAGGAAGAGGAGGAGGAGGAAGAAGTGGAGGACGGGGGAGAATCCTCGGACGTGGACGGCTTGAAAACTCAGCGGCGCAATGGCCACTCTCGCCTCGCCGCGCCCTAGGGCCTTGGCACCCTCTGCGGGACATCCGCCCGGCCCGCGTGCAACGCCACAGGAAGCCCGTGGGGTGCCGGGAGCTCTGGCCGTGTGCTCTTAACGGGCGAAGAACGGTACAAGATATAAACTTTTCCGCCGTCGGGGGCGCCTGTCACAGGGCGGCTTCCTCCTTCTCCTCCTCCTCCTCCTTCTCCTCCTTATCTCCGCCTCCTCCTCCCCCTTCTCTTGTTCCTCCCCCTTCTGGTCGTCGTCGATGTCTTTCAGCGTCGGCGGCACTGGCCGACAATCCTTCACAATCAACTTTTCCACCGTCGGGGGCGCCTGTCCCAGGGCGGCTGGACAATTTTTATTCTTACGGTGGCACCGTAGGGGTATAAACTTTCTGGCCGCCCAGGGGCAAGCGTCCCCGACGGCGGAGAAGTCTATCTTGTACCGTTCTTCGCCCGCGGCGCCATAGCCCTGGGGGTGCGCAAGGGACGCGAAGTCCCCGCCGCTGGCGGCGGCGGCGCTCTCCAGTGGAAAATTCATGGGAGCATCACGTACCATCTTTTGTTGGCTCTTGCGAATCGACGCTGATTGACGCTAGTCGACGCTACGTCGACGCTAAGCCGACGCTAGTCGATGCCAAATCGGCGCTTCCTCATCGACTGCCAGACGCTAGTAAACGCGGAATTCCGAGGCTCCCATGACTTGCTACCGAAGCCGCTCGAAGGGGCGAATGGCGAAGAGCACACCGAGGGTCTCTGGCCTCCTTCGGAAGGGCCCGAAGTCAAGTCGATCTCGGCACGCACTGCTCGGGGACCTACTAACCTGGGTCAATGCAGACCCGGGTCAATCGGGCCTTGCAGGATCCCGAAAGAATCGTCCAGGATCCCGCAAGATCCTGCGCGCAAGAAGCCCGGGTCAGTGCACCCCTGGCTCCCCAGACATGCGACGTGCTGATATTGTCTAGACGGCGTCCCTGGAAGTCCCGACCCTTTCCCCAGGACTGGTTTTTCGTCCCGAATCGTTTTTTGACGGTCCCGAGGCCCGGGAAGGGCCCCCGGAGGCCGAACACCAACGAAACACTGGCCGTCCTTATCTTTTACGACGCGACCATGTCTGGCTCTGCAGCCTCCTGCAAAGCCCAGCGCTCCGACTGCCCCCTGGTTGCACCGGCCCCCGTCCCCGGCGCCCTGGGCTGCCCCCCCGCGCCGCCCGCTCCGGCAGCCGCGGGGGCCAGCGGGCACGCGGCCCTCGTGCCCGGCGGCCTTCGCAGGACCCGACGGGCCGCAGCGGGCCTCTCGGGGATCGGTGCGGGCCGCGTGCGCGCACGCGGGAGGGGGCGCTGGACGGCGGCGGCGCGCTCGCAGAGGCGGGAGCGGGGAGGGGAGGAGGGCGGGATCGGCGCGCCCCTCGAGAGCGCCGACAAGCGCGCGTCCCAGCTGCGGCCGAGGTCGGGCAGAAACTGCGGCCAGCGCCAGTCTCACAACTTGAGGCCGGGGCAGTGCTCCAGGGGGGGGGGGGGGCGGCAGAGGGGGTGGGCGTTCTCAGAGAGCTCGGAAAGCATCGAGCGTTTTTCTTGTTGTTGTTAAATGCTGAGTCGGCATCCTCAGCCTTCGAGAAGTCTGTGGCCTTGGCCGTGGCCTTGGAGAAGGCTGTGGGGAGGGCTTCGAAGGCTGTGGCTCTGGAGAACGCCCAGAGATTCTAAATCTTCTCCAGAGCCACAGAGGGCTTCTCAGGAGGCCTGCGGGCATCTGCGCTTCTGAGAAGCCCCGCCGCCTCCCGAGAAGCCCTGGCCCCCTTACGCCTCCCCTCGCGGCGCGCCGCCGAGAGGCTGCTTCGCCCCCTCGAGCTCCGACGAGAAGCCCGAGAGGCTGCCGCCCAGGTCCCCTTCCTTTCTCCTCCTCCTCCTCCTCCTCCTCCTCCTCCTCCTCCTCCTCCCAGTCGCCGGCGTCCCGCGCGCCGGCGGCCCGCTCGAGCGCGTCCCTCGAGCGCGTCCCCCCTCCCCCCCCCTCCCCCTCCCTCCCCCTCCCCCTCCTCCTCCTCCCTCTCCTCCTCTCTCCTCCTTCCTCCTCCTCCTCCTCCTCCTCCTCCTCCTCCCCTCCTCCTCCTCCTCCCTCCCTCCCTCCCCTCCCTCCTCTCCTCCTCCTCTCTCCTCCTCTCCTCCCCTCCCCCTCCCCCTCCCACTCCCCCTTCCCCTCCTCCTCCTCCTCCTCGTCGTCGTCCTCCTCCTCCTCCTCCTCCTCCTACTCCTCCTCCCAATCGCCGGCGTCCCGCGCGCCGGCGGCCCGCTCGAGCGCGTCCCTCGAGAGGTGGACGCAGGGCAGGGCCACGGCCCAGCCCAGCGTCCGAGACTGCGGCTGCGCCACCTGGGGAGGCTCGTCGGGCTGCTCCATCGCGCGTCATTCTGCCGTCGTCGTGGCTCGGAAGCTGGGCAAGGGCTGGCAAATCCATGGCTGCCAAAACGGTCCTCCCGGAAGAAAAAAGCAAATCCCCAGGACAAGACCCAGCGCACGAAATAGTGAACGGGCTGCTTCCCGGAAGAAAAAAAGAATTTCCCGGAGTTCCGTTTTAGCAGCCACGGGTTTGCCAGCCTTTGCCCGGCTTCTGAGTGGTGCCAAGAGGAACGCTGGACGAGGAGCGAGGGACGACGAGGCGCTTCTGGCCACGGCGAGCCTCGGCTGCCAGCGGGTCCCCGGGCCTGGATCCAAGGAGTGCGTCCCGACAGCCAGAGCCCCTCCTGAGCCCAAGGCGGTGCTTCTCGGCGTCTTGGCTGCAGGTCGTCCTGGCTGCTCCCACGGGGCAGCAAGAACACGCTCGGGCCCGCCCTCCCCCGAGCGAGACGCCGCACTGCGAGGCAGATGCCCGGTGACGCAGACCTCCGACGCCGTGCTCTTTCTTCGCAACGTCGACCCCCAGCAGTCCTGGACCCCTTCGCCAGGGCCGGTGCTTCATCCCGCGTCCTTCTCGGGCGGTCCCGGGGCCCTGGCAATGGCCTCGGGAGGCTGAAAGTATCGGGGATCTTCTGGCCTGGGTCAATCCAGACCCGGGTCAGTCAGGACTGGCCGAATCCTGCAAGATCCTGCACCCAAGCCAGGGTCAATGCGAAGGATCCTGCAAGATACTGCAAGATCCTGCGCCCAAGCCCGGGTCAATGCCACCCTGGCCCTGGAGGACCCTGCAAGATCGGGCGCTCTGGCTGACCCCCGTTTGCACTGACCCCCTGTCTCAAGGCTTCCGAAAATGATATGAGAAACCTCCCGTCGTGATTCCTTCGCAGCGCAAAGGTGGGGGGGGGCCTGGGGAGCCCGCCCCGGCTTCGTCCCCTGCCACCGCGGCAGCGTCCTCGGGGCTCTGGCCCTGAGTGGCGGCGCGCGCGGGGGGGGGGGCGGCGGGGCGAGGGGGGGGAGGCGGAGGCGGACGAGGAGGAGGAGGAGGAGGAGGAGAAGGGGGAGGGGGAGGGGGAGGAGGAGGAGGAGGAGGAGGACCAGTGTAAAGCCAGAAGTCATCAACGATGTTGGAATTAAGCCTCCCTCCAAGCTCCCTCTTCGTAGGCCTCCACAACGGGTAATTTCCACTGAAGGAACTGCCTCGTTGGAAGACAACAGTTTGAAGACCTGGAAGCATGCCAAAACATTGATGTCGGGATTTCAACGCCACGTATCAACCTGACTGCTGCGTCTTGACGATCCGGAATCGTGCCAGAGCGCCATTTTGGCGACTTCAACTCCGCGAATCAACATAACTGTTTCACCCGCATAATCCTGAATCCTTCCAACACAATATTTCTGGTACGTTGATCATGGGAACCCGTGAAACGCTTGCACATGTTGAAAACGAATGTGCGCGGCGCCAAAGCGAGAGCCACATTTTGAAAAGGACCCGCCCTCAATCCGTGAAGCTCTTCCACATGTTTAAAAGGAGCGTGCGCTGCGCTAAGTTGAGAGCCACATTTTGAAAACCACCCGCCTTCAATCCGTGAAGCTTTTGCAAATGTTTGAACAAATGTGCGCGGCGCTAAGGCGAGAACCACATTTTGAAAACGACCCGCCCTCAATCCGTGAAGCTCTTGCAAATGTTTGAAACGAATGTGCGCGGCGCTAAGGCGAGAGCCACATTTTGAAAACGACCCGCCCTCCATCTGTGAAACTGTTGTCACTTTTAAGCCTCATAATCATACATGGTGAGGAAGTCTCAGGCGAAACGCCTGGCACGCCCTAACAACTTTCCTCGGGTGCGACAGGGAGAATAATGGAGGAGCAGGAGGAGGAGGAGGAGGAGGAGGAGGAGGAGGAGGAGGAGGAGGAGGAGGTGGAGGTGGAGGCGGAGGACGAGGGGCAGGGGCCTCTCAGAAGAGGCCCTCCTGCCCTCTTGGACACGACGAAGCCAGGGCGAAGATCAGATCGCGGGTGAAGATGAATCGGGACTCTCTGAGATCCAGCGGCTCGCGGGTGAAGAGAAATCGCGACTCTCTGAGATCCAGCGGCTCTGGAGGATGTCCAGGGCGCCGCGGCCTCCTTCTCGGAGCGGCGTTATCCTCGTCCTAGCCCCGTCCGGGAGGATGTCCAGGGCGCCGCGGCCTCCTTCTCGGAGCGGCGTTATCTTCGTCCTAGCCCCGTCCGACAGGAGGCCCTCCCAAGACATGCGATGCCAGCGTATTTTTATCTGGTTCAAAATGCGGGGTCCCCAGAAGTTCCGACCCTTTCCCTAGGGCCAATCTTTCATCCCGAGTCGTCTCACGACGGCCCCGGGGCCGTCTCACAACGGCCTCAAGGCCCGCCGAGGGCCTCCGAGGGCCGAAGTCGGCGTGCTTTTTGTTTGTTTGTTTGTTTGTTTGTTTTTTTGTTATGTTTTTGCGACTCGAGCCCGCCTGGGTGTGAGAACCACCCGACCCTTCCTGTGAGGCCCTCCCGCCCTCCCACGGAGGCCCTCCTGCCGCCCCACCCCCCTGCGCGGACCGCCGGCCTGAGCTCTCGGCTCGAAGGCCACGGTGGCCCGGAACTCCACGACGACGGCGCAGTCCCTGTCGCTCACCAGCAGCAGCGGCACCGCGACTGGGGCCTGCTGCTCGGGGAGCAAATCGCGACACGAACATCTCTTTTCGAAGGTCCGCGCGAACTGCTCGGATCGGCGCCGGAGCCCCTTTGCGGAGCCTCCGGCGTCGCCCCTGGCGCGCCCTGGCGCGCCAGGGAGGGGGGTCCGGAGAGCCGATCCAGGAGATCCGCGCGGGCCTTCGAAAGTCCCAGAGATCCGAGGTCGTGATTTTTTCAATACGGGGTCCCTGGGGGTCCCGACCCCTTCCACGGGATCGGTTTTCCATCCCGAGTCGTTTTTTGAGGGTTCTGGGGCCCGGCGAGGGCCCCTAGAGGCAGAAAGGGGCGAAAAACCTCTGTCTTGATTATTTCGATACGTTGGATCTCTGGGGTGTATGCTCATGACATTATTTGCTCCTCGATCTGCACGTATCGCTCCGCGTCCTCCGGCTGCCCGGGCTGGGAGGCCGTCCGCTGCGCCGGCCAGTGCAGGGGCAGGGTCCAGGCCGGGCCCGCCTCGTCGCCGTTCGGCTGGCAGCCGGGCGGCGGGGGCTGGCCCCGCTGTCCTGGCAGCAGGTCGGGCATGCCCTCCCACATCGGCGGCGGCCAGGGGGGGGGGGGGTGTCCAAGAGAGGGGGGTGCAAATCATGGCCGGCGGCACGTGCGCGGCCCAGGGGGGGGGGGCCAGGGACGTAATGAAATAAGGCGGGGCGCCATGAAATCTGTTGAAATAACATGGCCCCCGCCAGGAGATCCCCCCCCCAGTCATCACCCCCTTCTTCGCCGCCCCCGACGACAGGGGGCTTTGGGACGAGGAATAAAAAAAGAGTCAACAAGCAGGCAAACATGGCCAAAGCAGATCCTTGAAGCATGGTCCCCGAGCTACTTTTTGGGACCATCTTTTGAATCTGCCTCCCTGCAGAGGGACGCGCCCGACTTGGGAATCCTGGCAGCCGCAGCCAGCGGAGCCCGTTGTGCCCGCCGGCGAGGGCCTGGAGCCCGGGCGCGAGCAGCCGCCACGAGCCCTCCAGGCCCTCCCTCGGCGGCGGCAGCTGCTTCAGGAACTCGTCCCTCCACCTGCTGGCGGTGCGCACCAAGGGGGGAGGGAGGGAGGGGGCAGGGCTTCTTAGAGGGAGGCTGCTTCTCAGGAGGCGCCGGCCTGACATCTGCAGATAGGGCCCGCGCCTTCCAAGAAGCAGGGGTGCTTCCAAGAAGCCCTCCCCCCTCCCCCTACCCTCCTCTGCGCGCCGCCAAACCTGGCCCCGCGGCCGAGGGCGTCGGTTCAGGAGGGGAACGGGAAAGGACCCGTGCGGGAGGCATCTGGGCGCCTGCGGAGCAGGAGCTGCTGGCCCGAAACGACAGCGACCACTGTCAGACAGGCGCTTCTCGGCACAGCTGGGCGGCGTCCGCGGCGCCACTTGCAGCAAATCTGTCCGAATGGACTGGGAGTGGTGTCGGTTTTTGTCCTTGTCCTGTCCGTCCCAATTTCCTGCCATCTCGAAGTCTGGAGGGGGGAGGAGGGAGGCGGAAGCTTCGACACCTCTTCTCCATCGAACCGTGCCGCCGACTCGTCTCGAAGGGGGGGGGATCCAGGGGGAGTCCAGAATGGAAGCCGAAGGGGGTGGGGCCCCAGGGCCCAGGGAGGCGGATCTGGGGGGTGCAGAACCCCTGGGGCCTTGACGGAACAAGAAATTTATGCATTCTCACGCGCGCATGCGCGACGCCCGCGCGTATACCCCAAACAAGTCATTCCGGTAACATGTGTGGAGCCGCATGGTGTGTGGAACACTTCTGGCGTGGAGCCCGACATGATGGGCCACCATGTCCGTGTGGAGCCCCGTGTTTGGCCCACCTCCCAACTTGTGCGTGGAGCCCCTCCTCCTCCTCCTCCTCCTCCTCCTCCTCCTCCTTCCCAATCCCTCCCCATCCCCATCCCCATCCCCGTCCTCCTCCCTCTCCTCCTCCCCCTCCCCCACCCCCCTCCTCCTTCTCCTATTCCTTCTCCTCCTGTATCCCTTTTCCTTATAACAAACTCCTCCCAATCGCGCCCGCATGCGTGTTGGTAGGGCGGGCCGGGCGTTTCGCCTGAGATTGCCTCACCATTTCTGATCCTGAAACTAGAAATTTGCAGATGGATGGAGGGCGGGCCGCTTCCAAACTGTTGCTCTCGCCGATTCTCTGCGCACGCTCGCTTGTAGCATTTGCAACAGTTTCGCGGGTTCGTATGGTTCAAATCTCACGAAGGGCGTTTTGGCACGAATACGGACTGTCGGGACCCAAGAGTCACTCTGATTCGCGGTGTCAACGTTTCAAGAACGGTATTTTGGCACGACTTAGGATGGTAGGGGCGCAACAGTAGCGTTGTTTCGCGGTGTTGAAATTTCAGGAACGGTGTTTTGGCACGGTTTACGATTGTAGGGGCGCAGGAGTAACGTTGATTCGCGGCACGGAAAACCCAGAGAATTCTATTATGGCATGGTTGAGGATTCTCATACGCTTGTTTCCAATGTGGCACTTCCCGCATTGACTAGAGATTGCTGTAGGGACCAATAGAAATCGAACTTCGTTGGAGGGCTTATTGCGACATCGTTGGTGCGTCTCGGGTTTACACTTGCCTCCTCCTTTACTTCCGCTTCCTCCTCCTTTTCCTCCTCCTCCTCCTCTTCCTCCTCCTCCTCCTCCTCCTCCTCCTCCTCCTCCATCTCGTCCTTCTCCCCCTTTCCCTCCTCCCCAATCCCTCCCTTTCCCCCTCCCCCCCTCCCCCGTCCCCTCTCCCCTCCCCCCTCTCCTCCTCCTAATTATTGCTTTTCCTTATGGATAACTTCTCCCTGTCGCGCCCCGAGGCCAGTCGGAAGGGCCAGCCGGGCGTTTCGCCAGGGACTTTTTTTACCATGAGCGATCCTGAAAATTACAAAAAGTATAACCAGAATCCAATACCCCAGAAAGCTTTTTTTGAACCAAGGTGGCTCCTACAAGTGTTCGCGCGTTCTCCTGCTTCTGACCCGCCTGCGCCTTCGGCGTCGTCGTCTAGCTTTCCATGATCGTCGTCGTCGCACCCACGAAATTCTCCTTGTCGCCCTCGCCCTCCCCTTCCATTCACCTCCTCCTCATTCCCCTTCTCTCTTCTCCTGCTTACCCTCCTCCTTATCCTGATCCTCCTGGTCTTGCTCCCCCTCTTCTTCCTCTTCCTCCTCCTCCTCATCCCTCTCCTGCTCCACCTCCTCCTCCTCCTCCGCCTCATCCTCTGCCTCCTCTTCCTCCTCCTCCTCCTCGTCCTCCTCCTCGTCCTCCTATTGTATCTCCTCATCCCACCCTTTCTCGCCCCCCTCCTCATACGAAATCCTCCTCATGCTCCTGATGCTTGTCCTCCTCGTCGTTTTCTTCCTCCTCCCCCTTCATCCTCTACCTCGTCATCGACCTCCCAGATCTCTCCCAGAGCACAGTTCGGCAGCAGAAGTGTAATCAAATGGTTCGTCTGCGCCTGCCCCCTCCTCGCTCCTCTCTCCTCCCTCTCGGAGCCCAGAGCTTCGAGGACGGCTCAAGCGAAACGGGCCAGACCTCCTCTGGCGCGGCATCTCGGAGCCCAGAGTTGCGAGGATGTCTCAAGCGAGATGCGCCGGACCAGCTCGCGCACATTTCCTGAGAGCCCAGAATTGCGAGGATGTCTCAGGCGAAACGAGCTGGACCACCCAGCGCACATCTTCCAGGAGCCCAGAGTTGCGAGGATTTCTGAAGCGAATTGGGCTGGTCCACCTCGCGCGCAGCATCTAGGAACCCGAATTGCGAAGATGTCTCAGGCGAAACGGGCTGGACCACCTCGCGTGCAACATCTGGGAGCTCAGAGTTGCGAGGATGCCTCAGGCGGCGCCCAAATCCCTCCCAGAGCACATTCGTTTGGGTCTGGCCCCTCCTCCCTCTTTCCTCCTCCCTCTCGGAGCCCAGGGTTTCCAGGATGTCTCGAGCGAAACTGGCCAGACCACCGCGCCCGAAGCATCTCGGAGCCCCGAATTGCGAGGATGTCACAAGCGAAACGGGCCACACCCTTTCGCATATTTTCTCAAAGCTCAGAGTTGCATGGGTGAATTGGGCTGGACTGCGTCTCGCGCAGCATCTCGGAGCTGAGGGGTGCGAGGTTGTCTCAAGCCAAAATCGCCAGACCACCTCGCGCGCGGCGTCTCGGAGCTCAGAACTGGGAGAAGGTCTCAGGCTCTCAGGCGACACGCGCCGGAGCACCTCGCGCGCGGCAGCTCGGAGCGCAGAATTGTGAACATGTCTCAGGCGACACGCGCCGGACCACCTCGCGCGCGGCGTCTCGGAGCTCCGAGCAGAGAGGATGTCTCAGGCGACGCGCGCTTGGACCACCTCTTTTCGACCCCATCACGCCCCCCGGGAGGCTCCCGGAGGCATCTTCTGTATTGGGATCTGCGCTCGGGGAGCGCCTTGCGGCCCCTCCGTCACCACGGGGCCCCTGGAGACACTCTGCACTTTTGTGCGGCGGGATGTGTGTCGGGAAGCGTTCTTCCTGCCCTCCCGCCCACAGAAGGCCCCTGGAGACGCTTGTTCTGCTTTTCGGCCCCTCCGCCTTCAGGAGGCCCCAGGAGGTATTTATCTGTGCTGAGACACGTGTTCGTGGAACGCTTTTCGAGCCTCCCGCCACCAAAAGACGCCAAAAGGACCCAGGATGCACTTATCTGCAGCGGGATCTGTGTGTTCCGAGAATGCTTATCGGTCCCCCGTCTTCGTCCCCAACGGCTTGACCTCATAGGCTTCGCTGCCCTTCTCCTGGGACTCGAACCCTTAGTGCTTTGCATCTGTTTTGATAGATTGCCCCTCTCCTGGGGCTCGAACCCTTTGTGTTTTACGTATGCTGCTATAGATTCCCCTTCTCCTGGGGCTCGAATCCTTCGTGCTTCGAATCCTCACCGCTCCCCAAAGGCGCGCTCATCTTTTTACGTGTCTTGCGAGCTGAAGATGGGAACGTACCTCGGGAGAGGTGTGACTGCAACCTTCTTGGGCTGGAGATCTGGCTGTGAGAATATCGTCCCCTTCTCATATAGTTCCCCCAAGAGGGGGTGGCATCATGATGGATGCATGTGGCATGTAGAAGCAGGGCGCATCAGGGTAAAATGATATGTGTTATTGGAGCCCCCAGGAAACGCTTCTCTGTATTGGGATAATTCTACGTTCGGGGAGCGCTTCCCCCCCCCCCGCCCCCCGCCCACAGGGGGCCCCAAGAGGCCCAAATATGCACTTGACTGTATTCGGGGATTACTGTTTCGTCCCCAGTAGGCTTCGCCCTCATAGATTTCGTCCCCATAAGCTTCGCGGCCCCTGTCCTGGGGCTCGAACCTTTGTGCTCTAGTGTTCCTATAGATTGCCCTTCGACTGGGGCACGACCCCTTTGGGTTTCACGCATGTTCCTACACATTCACTTTGACTGGGGTTCGACTCCTTCGTGCTTCACGTGTGTTCCTACATATTGCCGCTCTCCTGGGGCTCAAACCCTTTGTGTTTTGAGCCCTCACCAGTCCCCATCGTCGGACTGTTTTTTATGTTTCGTGCGAGCTGAAAACGGATATGCCTCGGGAGGGATGTTGGCTCGACCTCCTTTGGCGGGAGATCGCGGTGTGGAATATCGCACCCTTTTTCATACAATTCCCCTCAGAGGGGTGGCATCATGATGGATGTATGCGGCACGTAGAAGCACGGCGCATGCAGGTAACATGATTATTGCTGTTGAGTGTTGCTGACTAAGTTATTATGGTTTCACCCCTTACAAGCGCTTTGGCGCTCTCGCCTCGGCGCCGGCTGCATCTCCTTTGAGATTGAGGCTCACGCTCAAGCGTTTCGGGATTCCGCCCAAACTGGACTCCAAAAAACAGCAACGCTCCCTGGCGATACTTCCTCACAATTCACTCCGAGAGGCCCTGGCCAGAGAGGGCCTGAACCTCAGAAAGCGCTCTCGCCTGAGACTCCCTCGCAATTTAACACCTCCATGGGGTCCTTCAGAGCAGTCTTGCCGCTACTTGCGGATGTCGGGACGGTCGTTTCACTGGAGACTTCCTCGCAACTTAACATTACAAGGGGGTCCTCCAGAACCAAGTTGCTGCTACTCGCGTATGCTGGAACGGCCTTTTCGCCGAGACTTCTTGGCAATTCAGGAGCGCGGGGGGATTCGTTAGAGCAGTCTTTCCGCTACTTGCGGAGGCTCCAGGAGGCCCCAGGACGATCCAGGGATATGTGTTGGGCTTAGAGGATAGCTTAGGCGAAACACCCTGGACCACTTCGCGCGCGGCGCCCCAAAATCCAGATTTTAGAAGATGTCGTTGGCGAAACGGCCAATTCCGGACAGCCCAGAACACCAGATTTGTTTGAGGATGTCGCTGCTCCTCTTCCCTCGGCCGGAGTTAACTTCGATCACAAAAGCACCCCGTTCAGCAAACTGTTTAGGGAATGAATTGATGGCACTGGCTTCACAAATGGAGGTCGGGCCGCTTCCAACATGTGGCTCTCACCTCAGCGCCGCGAACATTCGTTGTAAAACGTGGCGCGATTTTCACGGTTTGAGGGCGGGTGGTTTTCAAAGTGTGGCTCTCGCATTAGAGCCGCGCGCATTCGTTCCAACAGATGCAAGAGTTTAGCAGATTGAAGGCGGTTCCTTTTGAACATGTCGCTCTCGCAGATGCGTTGCGCACGCTCGTCCGAAACATTTGCAAGAGTTTCGCGGGTTCTCATGGTTGATGTACCAGGAATGGTGCTCTGGAGCGATTCAGGACTGTCAGGGCTCAACAATTACTTTGGTTCGCGGTGCTGAAGTCCCAGAAAGGTGTTCTGGCACGATTCAGGATCGTCAAGATGCTACTGTCAAGTTAATTCGTGGCGTTGAAATCCAGATAATGATCTTTTGGCACGCTTCAGCATCTTCAACAGGGTCCCTCCCAACGGGGCACTTCCCTCAGTGGGAATGAGCCCTTGCAGGGGCCTATGAAGATGGAGCTTGATGGGAGGGTTTCTTCCGACATCGTTGATGAGTCCCTGGTTTGCACTGGTCCCCCTCTTCCTTCATCCTCCGTCCTCCTCCTTCTCCTCCTCCTCCTCCCTTCCCCTGTTCCCCACATGCGGCACCTCCAGCCTTTCGAGGTTGGCCCGGCGGGACGCTGTCCCCGCGGGCATGAGCGGACGATGTTCGAACCGGTGCGCCCTCCCCTAATCCCTCCCTCTCCCCTTTCCCCCTCCCCTCCTCCCCCGCACTTCCCCTCCCATCCTCCCCCTCCCTCCCCCGCACTCCCCCTCCCATCCTCCCCCTCCCCTTCGCAATTACTCAATATGAATACTACTCTCCCTCTTCCCCTGATGACGGTTTGAAAGTGTCCGACCCTCCCCCGCGTACTGTTTTTTACACACAAGTTTCCCCGGAGTTGGGTTTTCGCATGCATTTTTTTCAAAATGCTGCTCTCGCTGAGGCGCCGGCCTCATTTTCGGGCCCCGCTCGTTCCGAATCGTGCTCCCGCTACAGCGCTGGCTTTATTTCCGTGCTTCCGCTCGTTCCGAATCGTGCTCCCGCTGCAGCGCTGGCCTCATTTCCGCGCTTCCGCTCGTTTCGACTCGTGCTCCCGCTGCAGCGCTGGCGTCATTTCCCGTGCCATGCCACGGCATGCAATGCAATGCTAGGTTGATACTACGCTTTGCGGTGCTCTTCTAAGCCATGCCATGCCGTGCTCTACAATGCATCGCGTACCCTTTCGGGATCATTGCCCTGCTCGACATCCGACTGTGCGAGTAGAGAGGGGATCTGCGCCATGGTAAGGGATGGGAGGGAGGGGTAGGATGTCAGATATGACGCGAGCGCACCTAGCTTGCCTTCCCCCCTCCCTTCCTCTCCCTCCCCTTCCCCTTCCCCTTCCCCCTCTCCCCCTCCTCCTCCTGCTCCTCCTCCTCCTCCTCCTGCTCCTCCTCCTGCTCCTCGTCTTCCTCCTCCTCCTCCTCGTCTTCCTCCTCCTCCTCCTCCTCCTCCTCCTCCTCTCCTCCTCCTCCTCCTCCTCCTCCTCCTCCTCCTCCTCCTCCTCCTCCTCCAAGCCACTGCAGCGAAACAAATGCAAGGGGGCATATCGCTCTCGCCTGTCGGGCAGCGTGAGCCTCACGTCCTCCAAGAGGGCCTCGTCGTGCAGGTCCGCCGTGAGGCGCATCCCGCCGAGGGGCGGCGCGGGAAGGCAGCGCAACCCGCCCAGGCGAGGTGCACCGGCTGCTGCAGGCAGATTTTCGGGCACCAGCGTCATGGCCACCTTCGCGCCGCCCGCCTTCTCCTTTCTCCTGCTCTCCTCCCCGTCTTCCTCCTGCTCTCCTTCTCTCTCCTCTCCTCTCTCCTCCTCCTCCTCTTCCTCCTCCTCTTCCTCTTCCTCCTCCTCCTACGCTTCCTCCTCCTCCTCCTCCTCTTCCTCCTCCTCCTCCTGAACCTCCTCCTGCTTCTCCTCCTCCAACCTCCGGCCTCCAATCGCCTCTGCCTTCCCCTCCCCCTCCTCCTCCTCCTCCTCCTGCTTCTCCACCTCTTCCTCCTCCTCATTCTCGTCATTCTCCTCTTCCTCCTCCTCCTCCAACATTCTCAATCCTCCCTGCTCCCTGGTCTCTCCTCCCTCCTCTCTCCACTCTCCACTTCTCCACTTCCCTCTCCTCCCGCCCACCTTCTCCTCTTCCTCCCTCCTCCCTCCTCCTCCCTCCCTGCCTTCCCTTTTCCTCCTCCTCCTCCGTCTCCTCATCGACCACATTTGTGGCCGCGAGAGGCACCGAGTTGACCTCCAACTCGCAGTCCAGCGCGCCCACGTGTCGCGGTTCCTTCTGGCCCGTGGTCGTTGCCAGCCAGAACTCCAATTCCGCCAGCCGGCTGGCGTCCGACGCCTTCCGGGAAACCGCATCACGTGCTCCGCCCCCGCGTTCGGCCCCGCCCCGTTCATCCACCCCCCTCCTCCCTCATCCCTCCCAGTCCCTTCCCTCCTCGTCATCTCCGAGCCCTCCTCGTCGTCGTCGTCGTCGTCGTCCTCCTCCTCCTGCTCCTCCTCTTTCTCCTCCTCTCCCCCTCTTCCTCTTCCACCTCTTCATTCATCCCCTCCTCTCCATAATCCTCGCCGTCGTCGTGGTCCTCTTCCTTTTTATCCCCCCCTCCTTCCATTCCCCCCCTGCTTCTCTTCCTCCTCCTCCTCCTGCTCCTCCTGCTCTCCTCCACCTCCTTCGGCCTGGGGCTTCCTCTCCTCCTGCCTCTCCGCTTCCGCCTCTTTCCATTGTCTTCTCCTCCTGCTTCTCCACTTTCCTTTGTTATCATGCACTATCCTCCCTCCTCCCTCCTCCCTCCTCCGTCCCTCCAACCCTACTATTTTCCGGTCCTTCTTTGCATTTTCCTACCTCCTCCTCCTCCTCCTCTTCCTCCTTCTCCTTCTCCTCCTCCTCCTCCTCCTCCTCCTCCTCCTCCTCCTCCTCCTCCTCCCCCCTCCTCCTTGTAACGCCTGGTCAAAATACCAGGAACCTACGAGGTCCGCGGGGAAATCGGCCATGTGACCCAAATCGCGTGGAAAGAAATGTTCGCTATACATCGCGGGAAGAAGGTAAACAAACACAAGCACGAGATGGTGTCTTTGGGGCATAGTTGATGAACTAACCATGAACGTCAAAAGGGAGGACATGGAACGATCCATGGAGGGAGTTTGCGAGACAGTAAAAAACGCGCGTTGGGAAACAACAGGGAAATGGGGCCAATGGGGACCTGGAGGGTCGATGTTAAATATAATGAGACCATCCCCGAATATGGGTCCCGTCTTGTAGGGCAACAGGCTAAACACCACTCGCAAGAAAATAATGTATTAGCAGTCGCTCCGCCCCTGGAAGCACAGAATTTGCGCCTCTCGACGGCCGTGCCTGGGGGCAGAGGTCTCAACGAAGGGGTGAGAGAAAATGATGAAGTTCGGATTGAACGATGTCGGAAGAGACTGCACTTACGCTGAAGCAGAGAAATGCATATTTGCCAGTCTTCCAAAGACCAATCTATGAACGTGGAAGGTGTGGCCGATTGTTACAGCCCATGAATGGCACCAGAGCAGCGAGCAATAGGGAATACTGCTACATTGATTTCGCTGGGCAACTTGACATTGACAGTGGGCTCGCCGTGCCATGTGCACTCTGGCATAAGAGCCTCAAGCTGTGTTTGACATTCCGCGGCGACGGTTGCACTCTGATGGGCAGCGATACCGACATGGACCAGCTTGAAACACATAACAATACATTTGACACGAACGTGAGAGAAAGGATTCGACCCAGGAGTTCACAAGGAAGAGGAGCAATCAATCAAAATACCCAACATGGCTATTGAATGGGAAGAACCAGCATGGGTTCTTGTATGGGGTCGGCCAGAGGGCAACAAGGAATTAGGATGGGGCAACATTGAGTCCAGTGTGGCCGGAGAGAAGCTGAACCTCACTGAGGAGGATGAGGAATAGTGATCCCCAGCTGGCGCGAAAACATATAAGGCGTTGGTATCGAAAACCAGCTACATTGCCCAGGATCGGTCATGCATGCCGTATGCGGTCGAAGCGTTAGCCAGGTACATGGCATCGCCCACAATTGGAGGTCGGACATACTTTGAAGCATTAGGTACGTGCTTGAATACCCAAAGCAGGTCAGACAGCTATATAAGTACCGACAGATGCTGGGTGAGCTTGTACATTGGACTGGTGCTGGTGATGCTTGGTGCAAAAGTGGTGAGTCAACAAGTGGAGGAGTAATTATGTGGGGTGAACACAATATCAACTCTCGGCGCACAGCGCAGAATGCTACTACAGATGAGTACTTAATGGTGAAAAAGGGCCCGTCGGGTTATGCATCCAGGTAGTGTTGCGTGACTTTGACACCGCAACTCACTTAGTCATTAAAGGCAACGCCATTGCGGCCGTAGCGATAGCGAGTCGGAGGGGACGGGGAAACAGGTTAGGCACATTTAAGTCTGCCAACTGTGACTTCAAGAACAACTGAGGAAGGAGGTAATAAAGTAGCGTAGGTCAGCGCCAATGACAATCATGCTGAAACGCTGGCCAGATATGCTAGTAGTGACCCACTGACCAAGCACGTGCGCGTCACTAAGCAAATTCTACTTGAGGGCAACCTTGACAGGGTCTGTGCGACTTGCATGAGCTGCTGGATCATGGTCTGCTGCTTTTGCCGGTGCTGCTGGAGCATGGTCTGCCATTGCCGCTGGGGCGTGTACGTGGTAGTGCGAGCGAACTCTTGGAACTGGCACTGCGTGGTCTTCTGGAGAGCGGCAGCCAGGAGGGCTGGGGGCTGGGCATGGGGGGCGTGCGCTGAGAACTAACACTGGCTTCCATGGGTGCCGCTGTAGCCGTGCGTTCCTCCTCTGCCTTCAGGCTCTCCAGCTCCTGCAAGTGCTGCTGGGCCCACTGCACTTGGTCGTGGGTGTTCCTGATGTCCGTCGCCAGCTCCTCCCTCTTCCTTAAAGGCAGCGTATTTGGGCAAAGGTCCTCTACCCACTTGCGGATCGCGTTGCGCTGGCCCGCCATGGGGAACAGGCAGAGCACCACGGTCTTCAGGGTAGCAATGTCCGCCAGCTGGTCCCCTGCTGGTAGGTTCGCATTTCTGTGAGACAGCACGATCCTGGCACATTTTTCCATCCTGGTGGTCGCTCTTTCCCTACAAGCTTTGACTGCGGCCATGTCGGACAAGACAAGTCGGTCGTGGGCCGGGTCCAGGCTTGCTGGATGTAGGCTGTGGACAGTGCATCTGGACCGACTTCTGACGAAGATCCTCCTGATGGCAGCACGTCCCCGGCTGCGCGATTGGCTGCGGTCTCTCGTTTGCTTGCCTGGGGCTCGTCTGCCCCAGGCCTCTGCATCTGAGCACCCCGTCGCACAGTGCTTCTGGTGGCTGCGGTTCTCCGCCTCGTGTTTCTGGCAAGCCCACGACCTGGCCATCGCGGGCTGCTGGGCCGAGTGGTGCGCCGACAGGCAGAGCCGTGCCGCGAGTACCCTCGCACAGGTTCTCGCGTGCGCGCTGCGCTGCCGCTCGCGCGTGTGCCAGGCTGCCTCCTCGGCCGTGGGCCGCGGCCCAGCGGCGCCGCGGGGCGCGCCGAGCACGCGTTGGCCCTGCCTCCCCACGCAGGTCAGGGGCGGCCGACGCTGCTCGGAAGTCAATGACTTTCCTCCTCCTCCTCCTCCTCCTCCTCCTCCTCCTCCTCCTCACTCCTCCTTCCTCCTCCTCCTCCTTCCTCCTCCTCGCTCCTTCACTCCTGCTCCTCCTAGTTCCTTCTCCTCCTTCTCCTTCTTCTTGTCCTCTTCTCCCTCCTCCTCCGCCTCCTCCTCCTCTTCCTCCCTCCTCCCTCCTCCTCCTCCTCCTCCTCCTCCTCCCTCCCAACCCGAATCTACGCGACGTCTGAACCTCCCCATCCGCCCAGAGCGCAAGGCCGTGGCTCAGGGGTGAAATCTCTGGGCCCCCTGGCCAACGGTCGGCGTGTGACGTCAGATCGGCTCGCACCTCGCCCCCGAGAATTCCCAGGAGCAGGAGCAGAAACTGGAGGAGGAGGAGGAGGAGGAGGAGGAGGAGGAGGAGGAGGAGGAGACGGAGGAGGAGGAGGAGGAGCAGGTAGAGGACGACGAGGAGGAAGGAGGGGAGACACGAGTGACAGGAGTAGGAGTAGGAGTACGAGGAGGAGGAGGAGGAGGAGGAGGAGGAGGAGGAGGAGGAGGAGGACGAGGAGGAGGCGGAGGTGGAGAACGGGGGAGAAAAGTTGCACACTATCTCCTGGCCGCCCATCACCGCTTGGTGGGAGAACAATGATGAGGTGGAACGGGCGGAAGAGCACAAGGAACGGGATCATGATGATATTCAGGGAGGAAGAAAAGGAAGTCGAGCATAAGTAGGAGCAGGATGAGGGAGGGACGGAGGAAGGAAGATGACGATAATGGAAGACGAAGATGAGGAGGGATGAGGGACTACGCGGGGGAAGGGAAGGGACTCTGAGGCGGGTGATGATGATGATGTTGATGATGAGCGGAGGCGGCGGATGATAATCCTCTCCTCTACTTCCAAATCCGCAATCCGCCTCCTTCTCTTCTTTCTGGTCCTCCTTCTTCCTGCTCCACTCCTTCTCTGCCTCCTCCTCCTTATCTTCCTCCTCCTGCTACTGACCTTCTTCTTTTTAGTATTCTTATTTCCGTCTCCATCATGTCCATCGTCGTCGTCATCACCATCGCCGCCGTCTAATTATTATCATCGTCATCATCACCACCATTCTCATCATCAGCATCATCATCACCATCCTTTATATTGTCCTCCTGTCTCCGCCCCCTCCCACTCATTTTTCTCAGCCTTTTCTTCGGAATATCTGCCCCTTCTTCCTCCTCCTTCTCCTCCACCGCTCCTTCCTCCTATGTCTCCGCTTCTACCTCTTCCCTCCTTGTCCCTCTTTGCCTCACCTCTTTTCTGTCTCTTTTCCTTATTCTCTCTCTCTCTCTCTCTTTCCGTGTCTGTCCATGTCTCTGTACTGGTCTCGGTCTCGGTCTCGGTCTCTCTCTCTCTCTCTCTCTTTCACTCTCTCTTCCTCTTTCTGCATGTACGTATACACAAGTGTCTCCCTTGTCGGTCTCTCTTTCTCTCTCTGTCTCTCCTTCCCTCCTGCTGCTCTTCTCTGCCTTTCTCCTCCAGCGGCGGCAAAAAGGCGTCTTCATCCTTTCCTCCAAGCCTTCGGGCTGCCCAGCGCCTGCTGGGTCAGGTGCTCCCGCAGGCTCCCGGGAAGGAGGTCGCGCCCCTGGATCGGCTGGGGGACCTCGCTGGCGAGGTCAAACCTCAGCAGCGCCCACCCCAGCGGCACCATGCCCTCCGTGTCTGGCTCCTTTGGGCAGCGTGCAAGCTGTACGTTGGCACCAGACCTGGCCAGTGGCCCGTCATGGGCCAGGGATTGATGTGCGTGTCCTCTCTCGCTCCTCCCCGTCCTCCTGGCCCTCGTATCGTCGTCGCACCATCATGTCGCGTGGGCAGCGCGGGCCAGGCGCTTCGGCAGAGATGTCCTCCACCGTATCCGATCTCGAAGCGTCCAGCCGTTGCACAGGTGGATGACGGCCCGCTCGCCAAATGTGGCTCTCGCGCTTGAGCCGCGCACGTTCCTCTTGAACGCTTCCGCCAGCTGCCCTGCTCGAGGGTGGCCCGCGGAAGGTGCGTGTCCCTCGCTCTGGAGCCGCGCGCGTTCTCGTCTGCACCAGTGCCAGCAGCTGCGCGGACGGAGGTCGGGCCGTTTTCAAGACGTGGCCCTCGCCTCGGCGCATCGCTCACTCATCCTCGGCATCCCAGCACGAGGCGAGTGGAGGGCCAATCTTTTTCAACATTGGGGTCCAGCCTGGGGCTTGTTCCGTTAGCACTGTGTGGCATGCACGTGGATGGCGAACGGCTCGTTCTCAAACTGCGGTTCTCGCTGAGGCTTCCTCTGGACCTGCGTATTGCCGGAAACTCAGGTCTTGCGCATCAGCTACGTACATGCGTGGAGGGCACTTCTTTCTCAAAACGGGTACCTGACATGTTTGCGACCCCGAGGAACACATGGCTGGGTTCCCGTTCGGCCGCAAGGGGCCCGGCACAATGGTATGTTGGTTAGTAGGCCAATTTGGGAGTTCCCCGATTAGTTCCTCACCCTTTCTAGAATGTTATAAAGGCCAAGTGGGGCCCACGTCGGAAAGTGGCATTCACACCTCCTCAACACAAATTTCTGATCGCCCTCAAGGGCGATCAGCAACTTCGCCATGCCACCAGGAAGCGGCCATTTCGCTCGGGACTTCCTCGCCCAAGAGATCCACATGCTTTTCACGCCGCCTGACCATGTCGATTTCGCTCGGTACTTCCTCGCCAGATTTTTCCGATTGCTGTTCGTGCCGCTTGACAGTGGCCACTTTTTCGCGGGACTTCCTCAACACACACTTCCAGTCGCTTTCCATGCCGCCCTCGTAGAGTGCCATTCGCCACTTTCCAATCCAGGGGGTAGTTGCAAAAACGATCGATCCGACCATGCTGATTTACCACAGTCGTAAGACGTGCGCGCTAATTTGGAACATGGACATTATTTGAAAGTGATGTGCTTCCGTGCTCTGGTGGCGGTCACCAGAAAACAACGGCCGCTTCGAAATAGTAGAAGCTTACCACAATCGTAGACGAAGAATGTGCGCGCCAATGTTTGAGCAGGGACCGACCGTCCCTGAATTCCTACAGGCCTACCACCCAATTTTCTAAGAACCCGAAGCTGTTCTAATAACAGAAGCAAGGTTCTTAGAACATGAACCAGATGTGTATAAACAAGAGACTCCCAGCCAATCATGTTCTAAGAACATTTCGTGCAGACCGCAACAGGCTCTTAGGACGTTCTCTGGTGGCTCTACAGGCGAGCCAGGACGCTTCGCCACTCCCTCGCCACAAAAGCTCCCGACCGCCACCTGCAGGCCGATGGGCGCCTCGCGGCCACGGAGGCCTGCGACGTGGGCCCCCGCGTCGGACGTCCGGCACCAGGCAGCTAGCGGCCATGGGCGACAAGCGCCCCTCCCGTGCGGAGTTCTGGAGGAAACCCGGGCAGGCACCCCGGGAGCGGGAGGCAGTCGAAGCAAGGTCCACAGCAGGCGTGGGCATCGAGGGCATGGGCCCGCTCTGCCCCCCCCCCAAGGCGACGGTGCCAGGTCCGTCGGCCGCCCTTGGGCCGCCCCCTTTTGGGGCGGAGTCGGCACGTCGCAGCTTGCCTCACCCCAGCAACCTTTCGGTCGGGCATGTCCTCCTACAGGCGGGTTTTGAGCGACAGGTTAAAACATACGCAGCAAATGCTGACAAGTTCTTAAAACAAAAGATAGAAACATCGTCCCCAGACGGCTTTTTCGAATACTTTTTTGAAGACTCCTCCTGTGGAGGGACATGCCCGCCTTCAAGCTGCCTGCGCCCGCCCTCTGCGCCGCCTCCCACTGCAGGGCCCGCACCGTTCGCGCCCTCCGCGGGCCGCTCTGGCCGAGACCCGCTGCCGCGGCCTCACGGGGTGGCCGAGGGCCCCGGGGGCCCCACCGAGCGCTCCAGGGCGAAGGGGCCCACGGCGAAGAACAGGAGGAGGAGGAGGAGGAGGAGGAGGAGGAGGAGGAGGAGGAGGAGGAGGAGGAGGAGGAGGACGGAGAAGGCGGAGGAGGCGGAGGGGGCGGAGGGGGCGGAGGAGGCGGAGGAGGCGGAGGAGGAGGGGTACCCTGCAAAACTACGACTGTTCTTGGCCCTCGGGTGCCTTTCAGAACGGGGCTCTCGCCCGACTGCACTAGCAGGTCCATGGTGAGCTCGTCTTTCGAGAGGGCGCTTCCAGCAATGAAGGGGGATGCTTGGAATGACATGCGAGGAGGGGGGTTGAGACGGGAGGCTGTGTTGCAGCATCATTGAGGCATCGTGGGCTTACTATGGTCCTCCTCCTCCTGCCTCGTCCTCAAATGTCCGCGTCCACGTCCTCGTCCTCGTCGTCTGGCTCCTGCTCCTCTTCCTCCTCCCTGGTCCTCCTCGTCCTTTCCTGCTGCTTCTGCTTCTGCTTCTCCCTCCTCCTCCTCCTCCTCCTCCTCCTCCTCCTCCTCGTCCTCCGACCTCCTCGTCCTTCTCCTCCACCCCATCCCCTTCTCCTCCTCACCCTCCAGGAGTGCACGCCCATACCAGGCCCACCTGGCCAGGTACGGGGTAGGTATACGGTTTGCCTGTCACGAGTCCTCCGATGCGGTCGACGGCGTGGTGGGCGAAACAACTGTCCGCAGCACCGACAGCGGGAGGAGCCAAGGGCTAGTGTGGCCCTGTATTTGGCATCGCACTGTCTTGTCGCCAGCGTTCTTCTCGAGCACCTGGGCCTCCTTCTGCTTGTCCTCCCCCCCCTCCTGGCCCTCCTCCTCCCCCTCCTCATCCTCCTCCCCCTCTTGCTTCTGCTTGTCCTCCTCCTCCTCCTCCTCCTCCCTCCTCCTCCTCCTCCTCCTCCTCCATTATTCTTTCCCTCCTCCTCCTCCTCCTCCTCCTCGAGCACCTGGACCTGCTTGCCCGCCAGCGTCTTCCACTCTGCCATTGTGCGGGCAATCGCCTGCGACTTTACGTCCTTGCCCTGCTTGGCCAGTGTCTTCTCGTCGCTGATCACCTATACTCTCCTCATCCTTCTTCTGCTGCTGCTCCTCCTCCCCATCCCCCTCGCGCCCGAAATAATCACAATCCTCAGCGTCCTGAAACAATTTTTGGGCCCTGGGACCGCCAGGCGACGAGCTAGGATGAGAGATTTGTCCCCCGCAGGCGGGTCGAGAGCTGGCGGAGTCCGCCCTCCAGTGTTAGGTCGGGCATGCCCCCTGCAGGCGGATTTTGGGCGAAATTAAAAGTATCACAAACATGCACCAAACTAATCAAACAATAATGCAACACAATACCCTGGCGACGTACCCAACCCCTGCGCAATGCGGGGCATGAGTAGCCTGGGAGACGTTATACGGAAGTGATGACGTGACATGGGCGCATGTACTTCTGCAAGCGGCATTCGTGAGGCTCGCAGCCCCCCCAGGGATTGCGATGTCCCGCTCAGATCTGCCTGGTGCCTCGCTCCGCTGGACCCACCAGCAGCCCGAAAGGGGCGACAATTTTGCAGATCGCAGCCCCCCAGGGACGGCGAGGTCCCGCTCAGATCCGCGCGGTGTCTCACTCCGCAGGACCCACCAGCAGCCCTCGAAAATGGCGACAATTTCGCAGATCGCAGCCCCCCAGGGACGGCGAGGTCCCGCTCAGGTCCGCGCGGTGCCTCACTCCGCAGGACCCACCAGCAGCCCTCGAAAGTGGCGACATTTCGCAGATCGCAGCCCCCCAGGGACGGCGAGGTCCCGCTCAGGCCGCGCGGTGCCTCACTCCGCAGGACCCACCAGCAGCCCTCGAAAAAGGCGACGGTTTCGCGGATCGCAGCCCCCCCAGGGACGGCGAGGTCCCGCTCAGGTCCGCGCGGTGCCTCACTCCGCAGGACCCACCAGCAGCCCTCGAAAGTGGCGACATTTCGCAGATCGCAGCCCCCCAGGACGGCGAGGTCCCGCTCAGGTCCGCGCGGTGCCTCACCCCGCAGGACCCACCAGCAGCCCTCGAAAGTGGCGACAATTTCGCAGATCGCAGCCCCCCAGGGACGGCGAGGTCGCCGCTCATGTCCGCGCGGTGCCTCACTCCGCAGGACCCCAGCAGCCCTCGAAAATGGCGACATTTCGCAGATCGCAGCCCCCCAGGGACGGCGAGGTCCCGCTCAGGTCCGCGCGGTGCCTCGCTCCGCAGGACCCACCAGCAGCCCTCGAAAGTGGCGACAATTTCGCAGATCGCAGCCCCCCAGGGACGGCGAGGTCCCGCTCAGGTCCGCGCGGTGCCTCACCCCGCAGGACCCACCAGCAGCCCTCGAAAGTGGCGACCGTTTCGCAGATCGCAGCCCCCCAGGGACGGCGAGGTCCCGCTCAGGTCCGCGCGGTGCCTCAATTCTGCTGGCTCATGAAGTTGCTGCACGAGCTGCGCACCAGAGGCTCAGACATCTCGACAGAGGCCCTCTCCTCCTCCCCCTCCCCCTCCCCCCCCTCCCCCTCCTCCTCCTCCTCCTCCCCTCCTCCTCCTCCTCTCCTCCTCCCTCCTCCTCCTCCTCCTCCTCCTCCTTCCTCCTCCTCCTCCTCCTCTCCTCCTCCTCCTCCTCCTCCTCCCTCCTCCTCCTCCTCCCTCCCTCCTCCTAATCATCATCACAGAAGCCGATCTCCTCTTCCTCCCGGTGGCCGATCACCTGCAGTGCCATCCCTGGCTCTACCTCCTCCATCTTCGGCTGCTTCGGCACCTGCTGCTTCACCGCCTTTGCTGGCGCCCGCGGCTGGGGGCTGGCGACCTGCCAACAAGGGGCGCTCGTGGTGCCGACAGGGAGGTGGGCGTCTCTGAGGATGAAGGGCGACGTTCGTGCCACGACCTCCACCGGCAGGGAGGGAAGAGCGAGGGGTCGGATGGATGGAGGGAGAGGTGGAGGGATGATAATGATGTTGCTGCTGAATGGTGATGATGCTGCTGCTGATGCTGCTGCTGATGATAATGAGGATGCTGATGCTGATGCTAATGAAGCTGATGACGACAATGCTGCTGCTTATGATGATGCTGATGATGAGGATCACGCTAATGATGATGAGGATGATCATGACGACGATGATGATGACGATGCTGATGATGATGACGATGTGGACGATTATGATGATGATGCTGCTGATGATGCTGTAGATGATGCTGCTGCTGCTGCTGATGATGATGATGATGATGGTGATGATGATGATGATGATGATGATGATGATGATGATGATGATGATGATGATGATGATGATGATGATGATGATGATGATGATGATGATGACGGTGACGCTGTTGCGGCTGCTGCTGATGGTGATGAGGACGATGCTGACATGATGCCGATACTGATGCTGCTGCCGCTGCTGATGAGGCGGAGGTGGAGAAAGAGGAGGAGGTGGAGGAGGATGAGTAGGAGGATGAGGAGGACCATGATGATGCTGATGATGCTGATGATGCTGATGCTGATGATGATGATGATGATGATGATGATGATGATGATGATGATGATGATGATGATGATGATGATGATGATGATATTGACGATGATGCTGACGATGCTGCTGCTGATGATGCTGATGCTGATGCTGATGCTGATGCTGATGATGATGATGAGGAGGAGGAGGAGCGAGAGGGACGAGGAGTAAGAGGAGTGAGTGAGTGAGGAGAGGGGCAATGCTGGCGGGCGACGCTCCTGCCTTCTCCCCCCTCTCTTCCTCCTCCTCCTCCTCCTCCTCCTCCTCCTCCTCCTCCTCCTCTCCCTCCTCCTCCTCCTCCTCCTCCTCCTCCTGCCTCCGTCCTCCTACCTCCTCTTCGTTCCCTTCTGCCTACTCCCTCCTCCTCCTGCTGCCTCCCTCCCCTCCCTCCTCCCTCCTGTTGCCTCCTGCCCCCTCCTGCTCCCTTTTGCCCTCCTTCCCTCCTCCATCCTTGCTGATCCTTCCTCCTCCCTGCTGCTGCTGCTGCTCTTCCTGCCACGGCACGGCCTCCACCAGCAACCGGAAGCTGCTGCCCAGCGAGCGGGTGTGGAAGAAGAACAGCTGCGGCGGATTAGCCTTGCAGATCGAGGGGCGCATGCCTGCTACGTCTGCCTCTCCCCTGCCCCTCCTCTTCCCCCCCCCGCCCTCCCCCTCCGTTCCGCCCTCGCCTCTCTCCTCTCTCCCATGCCCCTCCCGTCTCTCTCGGCTCTCCCTGTCCCCCCCCCCCCTGCGCCCGTCTATCCCTTTCCCCCCAGCCCCCTCTGTCTGACAAAAGCGGGGAGCATAAGAATAAGAGGCTTAAGAGGACAGGATGGTGGTAGCAGGAGCGCGGGAAGTCATGAGGGCGCGTGGACTGAAGGAGGGGATGTGGGGGAGGAGAGGAGTGGGGAGGGAGGAGTGACGGGGGCAAGGAGGGTTGTAATGATGGGGGCTGACGGGATGAATGGGTGAGATCAATCGGCGGAGGGAGGAAGGGATGGTCGATTGTGAGGGGTGGGAAAGGGATGAGGGGTGGGCAAGGAGTGGGATGGAGAGAGAAAGGGATGAAATGAGTGAGCAAAGGATCATCGTCTTCCACGCCCCGTCATCCTTCTCCACCGTTTTCCTTATTCTCCTCTCTAGAACTCCCCTCCCACCACTTTTATACCCATGTGAAGCCCAAGACAACACCTAAACATCGTCCTCTCCGCTTCCTCCTTTTCTTCCTCCTCCTCACTGAAACTCACTGGACCCCTTGGGACCGCCATACCTCCCTCACCCCTCCACCTTCCCAGTCCTCCCTCTCCTCTTCTTCCTCCTCCCTCTCCTCTTCCTCCTCCTGCTCCTCCTGCTCCTCCTCCTCCTGCTCCTCTTCCTCTTCCGCCTCCTCCCTGCGTCCCTCCGTCCCTCCTCCCTCCATCCTCGTTCCCTCCTCTCTCGTCCCTCCTGCCTTCTTCCTCCTCCCTCCTCCTTCCCCCCTCGTTCCTCCTCCTCCTCCCGGGGTGGCGGCGTTCCGTGCCCCAACACCCGCCTGGCAGGTGACCTCCAGCTTCCGGTCTTGGCCTTTGGCGGGCGCCAGCACCTGCGAGGTCCGCAGCCGCGGTCCGTGGAAGGTGGACCTCGGGCCCAGTGTCCATCCTCCTCTTCCTCTTCTTCTTCCTCCTCCTCCTCGCCTCCTTTTCCTCCTTTTCCATCCTCTTCCTCCTTTTCCTCTTTTTCTTCCTGCATCTTCCTTTTCCTCCTTTTCCTCTTCCTCCTCCTGGGGGGGGGGGTGTGCGGGGGTGTGCGAGGAGCGTGCAAGGGATGATGGCGACGAAACATGGCGAGCGAGGGGGATGGGGAGGCGGCACCAGCCAGATCGAGCGGCTCGGCGGGCCCCGCCGCCCCCCCCCCCGCCCCCCCGCCCAACGCAACCGTCCAACAATTTGGACAAATCCGCGCGCTCCCACCCCCAGCGCACGGAAGGCGGCTCGGCGGCGGAACGCAGCTGGACACTCGCAATCAAGGGAGAGGAGCTCCCTGGAGCGCCCTGCACAGCACTGCGGCGAGAGCGCGCGACACCCGACATGTCCGATAAAAGGGGCGCCGCGTGCGCCGCGCGCGTTCGGACGACATCTGCGCAGTTCTTGGGCGAGAGCGGCGTTTCGGTCTCCCAGGCACGTCCCCGCTTCCGACGGCTGGGCGAGCGAGTCCATCTGCGCCGCCGCGCCCGAGAGAGAACGCCACTTTCAAGCGAAAACAATTCGCCACTTGGGCGAGAGTGACAGCTCGCCCTCGGGCTCGACTTGGCGAGGGAAGGACGAAGAGTCGCCGTGGCGAATCGGGCCTCGACGTGCGACGCGTCGTGATCTATGCCAGATTAGGTGTTCCGGGACGCATGCGGACGGTGGCACTGGGGGCTTCGGTGGAACTCCCCATGGGGCAACGAAACGCTGTACTGGGTGTGTGAAAATGCCAAATTGGTGTTCCAGGGCGGATGCGGACGGTGGCACTGGGGGCTTCGGTGGAGCTCCCTATGGGGCCACGACGCGCTGTACTGGGTGGGTGAAAATGTTAAATCGGGTGTTCTGGGACGCCTCCGGACGGTGGCACTGGGGGCTTCGGTGGAACTCCTGTAACGGGTGGGTGAGAATGCCAAAGTGGGTGTTCCGGAACGCGTGCGGACGGTGGCACTAGGGGCTTTGGTGGAGCTCCCCATGGGGCGATGGGGCGACGAAGTGCCGTACTGCGTGGGTGAAGCTGCCACATTGGGTGTTCCGGGACGCGTGCGGACGGTGGCACTAGGGGCTTCGGTGGAGCTCCCTATGGAGCCACGAAGCGGTGTGCTGGGTGGGTGAAAATGGGAAATTGGGTGTCCTGGGACGCATGCGGACGGTGGCACTGGGGGCTTCGGTGGAGCTCCCTATGGGGCCACGCGACGCTGTGCTGGGTGGGTGAAACGCAGGGAGAGAAGAGGGGGGAGGTGGAGGAGGGAGGAAGGAAGGAGGGAACGCGGGGACCGTCTCTTCAAAACAAAAACCCAACGCCACAGGATGGTCAGGAAAAAGGCTAGGACGGCCTGCGCCGCATCCTTCATGTTGTGCGTGCGCGTGCCCTGAGCATGCGGAGCGATGCCAGCGCGTGACGGGGGGGCCTTGGCCCGCGGCGTGGGATGAGTGCGCCCAGCCAGGGTAGAGGTGCCAGCGGGTGCAACTTTTGACGGGACGCCTCCGCTTCAAGAGCGCGGGGGGCAAGTGCTCGCGTGCGCGTGTGACCAGGCCTGCGCGAAACAGCGGCGGAGGGCGCCCCGCCGTCGCAGCGAGCTGGGTCGCAGACCGACCACCGCGCTATCGACTGCATTATCCATGTCCCAACGTGCTGCCAAAGACTGGGCCCCTCGCTCGCCTGCATTTTCGCGCGGCACTGCCCGCCATCAGCAACGCGCTCCGCATTGACATCGGAAACCCCGAGCGTCGGTGTGCGGCTGGCTCCACCATGTCGCCCCGCTAACGACGATGCGCCCGATGTATGATGGCGCGCTTGGACGCCGCGCGCTCGTCGTTGGCGTTCTTGGGAAGCGTGGCAATCGCAGCGAGCCTGCGCCGCGCTGGGAAAGTGGGTTCGCGCTCGACGCGTCGGGGGGCCCGCGCGCTCCACCCATGGCCAGGCAATGCTGGCCATTCGCGAGGCGACCACTTATCAGCGCCAGTGCGGCAGTCAGAACATGACAGGCCTGGGCCAGGTTGCGAGCATCAAGATCGGGAGCCCCAGGAACACCCGATTGCGCAAAAGGCTCTCCGAGTGGCCCGTGAAGGGAACTCCTCTTCGGACTCAGACGGGGCCCGCCAAATCGCCGGGCAATGTCACGGTGATTCGCCATATGTAGAAACCTGCTTAACCCCATCCAAAACTGCAAAAGACTAGACCGTGGCCCGACCACCAGACTTCCACCGCGCGTGGGTCTGGGGGACCCCGCCGAATGGGCGCGCGCGGAGCCGCTCGCGAATGCTGGCCTCGCTGTCAATCTGGACCTGAGTCTGGGCGTTCACGCGGAGCCCCGTCGCCTTGTCAATCAAGGCGCGGGCGCCATCTTAGTCGAAATGAAAGTCTGCCGGAGCATTCGACCGCGTGTGCGCCAGTTCGAAGGAACGCAGCGGCTCGAGGCTTTGTTTGGGGGGTCTGGGCAGCTAGGGGAGACGGCGAGCTCCGGGGGCTGTGGGCGCGGCGAGACTGCGACCGGCCGTGCAAAAAACGCTTCCGATAATCATGCGACCGAGTGTGCGCCAACGCCCGATTGCAAGAATCACCGCGTGAAAAACTGTGCGTCAGCTGCCCGCGGCATCGAAGAGACCCGTGCAATTTCTGAAGACCTAAACCGCGCCCCGGAACGCGACCAGGTTCGATGGCGCCGCGGCGCCGAGACAGACGCGAAATCTCGGCGGACCTGGATCGCCAAGCGTAAGCCTGAGAAAATTCACTCGACAGAAACTCTTGGGCATGGCCCCGAATTATCCGGGCGAAGGACGCAGACATATGCAGTTGTGGGTGCCGCATGTGTGAATATCTTCTTCGGTGGAGCTCCCTATGGGGCCGCGAAGCGCTGTGCTGGATGGGTGAAAATGCCATGTTTGGTGTGTGGGACGCATGCGGGCGGTCCCACTGGGGGCTTCGGCGGGGTTCCCTATGGGGCCGCGAAACGTATGAGGGGTGTGTCAAATTGAATGTTCCGGGGCGCATGCGGACGGTGGCACTGGGGGCTTCGGTGGAGCTCCCTATGGGGCCACGAAGCGATGTACTGGGTGGGTGAAAATGCAAAATTGGGCGTTCCAGAGCGCATGCGGACGGTGGCGCTGGGGGCTTCGGTGCAGCTCCCTACGGGGCCACGAAACGTTGTGCTGCGTGGGTGAAAATGCCAAATTGGGTTTCCGGAACGCATGCGGGCGGTCCGACTGGGGGCTTTGGTGGAGCTCTCTATGGGGCCGCGAAGCGCTGTGCTGGGTGGGTGAAAATGCCAAAAAAGGTTTCCGGGGCGCGCGCGGACGGTGGCGCTGGGGGCTTCGGTGGAGCTCCCCATGGGGCCACGAAGCGCTGTGCTGGGTGGTGAAAATGCCAAAATGGGTTTCTGGGTCGCATGCGGGCGGTCCCACTGGGGGCTTCGGTGGGGCTCCCTATGGGGCCACGAAACGGTGTGCTGGGTGGGTGAAAATTCCTAATTGGGTGTTCCGGGGCGCATGCGGACGGTGGCGCTGGGGGCCTCGGTGGAGCTGCTTATGTGGCCGCGAAACGTTGTAATGGGTGGGTGAAAATGCCAAATTGGGTTTCCGGGGCGCATGCGGACGGTCCCACTGGGGGCTTCGGTGGAGCTCCCTATGGGGCCACGAAGCGGTGTACTGGGTGGGTGAAAAAGCCAAATTGGGTTTACGGGGCGCGTGCGGGCGGGCCCACTGGGGGCTTCGGTGGAGCTCCCCGCGGGGCCACGAAACGGCGCAGTGGGTGGGTGAAACGCAAGGAGGAATGAGGAGGGGGGAGGGGGAGGAAAGAGGGAGGAGGGGCGCGGGGACCGTCTCTTCAAAATCAAAACCCAACACCACAGGATGGTTGGGAAAAACTGAGGTGGCGCCATCGGGCGTCGAATGGTCGAGCTCAATCTGCAGGGCGACGTCGGCCAAGTAAATGCCGGGCGTGATCGGGCGTTCGCGCTTCGCTCGACGCCCCTCTACAAGTCTCAATATGCAAGTGCGGGTGAACCATGAAGGGCGCTTCGGGCGCTGCATTGACTTTAGTCGTCAGGGTCAGGTCCTGGGGGCGAGCGAGGTAATCTAAGATCGCCTCGCTGGCGCTGCGGGTGAATTCAGCCTGTGGGGTGGGCGGGGTGGAGTGGGGGGGCGACGGGGCCAGATCGGATCGACTCAGACTATTCAGCGTGAGCAGCCACTTCAGGGGAATGGCGAAACCGCCCAAAGAGTACCAAGGGACCAACCGCGCCGCGGTGAACTGGCAGATTCCACGCAAATCATCCAGGCCCCCCGCAGGCGTGCCAAAGGGCGCGACGTGAGAACAGACTCCCGCGCCGATGGAATAAGCGTCCAGTTTCAACTACAGGAAAAGCCACCCACATGTACCATGACCAACATGGACGACTTTAGGGCACTGGGCCAGGAACCCTTGAAAAGACATGCCCATCTGGGCTAGCCCTGCGACGCCCCCATGTGTGCCGCCTCTGGGGGATTCAACAGCTGGCTGGACATGCGGTGGCCGTCCTATGGCACGAGCTTCCTTCTTCGCCAGGGGAATGGCATAGCGTCGAAGGTGAAACAGACCAACCCGATCAGGCGCGAAACATTTAGCGAGCGAGCGCCGACCAAGAGGTCACGTAGCAGAAGATCTCGTCTGACCCCGCGAGCGGGCGCGACGCCGCCAGGCGGGGACAAGGTTGAATCCGCGGCTGTGCGCCTCCAGCTCCAGCCTCCGAAATTGGATTGGGTCGGGTTGTTGCTGCTTGGCTGAGCGCAGCGAAAGAACGGAGCGATTGCTGCGCCACCGCGCGGCAGGCGCGCTTGGCAGCGCGGGCGTCGGCGGCGCGCTGGGCCAACTCATCATGCTTCTGTGGCTCCTCTGGGTCCCATCCCGTGCCAGCTGCGCGCTTGCGAAGTTCGCGGAGCTCAGCCCACTCAGGATCATCGCCAGTGTCACTGGCCTCATCCATCGCGATGTCTGAGCCCCTGTTCTGCCGCTTGGCCCAAGCGAGCATGGCGTTGCACTGTTCGGGGCAGACGGCGGACTTCTTTTCAAAGCGGGAGATGTCAGCCTCGAGCGCGTGGAAGTCCTGCTCGGCCCATGCGAAATCGAAGACGTGGATGTTAAACCCTGGCAACGGGGCGACCGAGCCCGACGTCGCCACCACTCCTCCGACTGCGGGGGCGGTTGCCAGGCCGCCGGCCGCGCTGGCGGCAGCGGGGGTCAGTGGTGCAGCATCCTGCGCGAGTGGGAACGCCGCCTGGCCAGGGGCCAACGGCGTAGCGCCGTCCGCGGGTGGGAACACCGCCCTGCCAGCGCCGCCAGGGCCAGCAGCACCGCCACGAGGTACAGCGTCACGCACTTGAGTATGACGAGCAGCTGCCGCTTGTGCCTCGCGGGTGATGCGCCTCTCCTCCTTGCGGATCTCCATGCGGTACTGCTTGGCATTGAAAAGGTTCTCTTGCGCGACAGCGTTGCGCCGGTCGTTGGATATCTTCAGGTACTGGGTGGCCTTGGGCCTTCTCTGCCTTGGCTGGCTTCTCCTTATGCTTGACGGCTGCGGACGGTCTCTGCTCGACGGAACCTTGCGCCACGCGCTAATTGTGGTGCCAAAGGCGTGGCGGAACACGTGTCCGCCTTGGCCCTGACAGCCTGCAACTCCATCGTCATGTCGGGTGACTCGGCCGCGAGCTTCGCGAGCTGGGAGGACAACTCGCCCGACTCGCGGCCAATGTCACCCTCGATTGTCTCGTACTTCTTGGCCTTGGACATGTCGAGGTAGTCGCCTCCGCATTGGCTGCAATACCAGTTGCCGTAACAGCCGTGCTCCCACCGGCCGCATGACGCACAGACGCCGTAGGCAGTGCGAACAGCAACACGTTGACGGCGACGATCGACACAATCGTCGTTCTCCCCACAGTGGTGGCGAGCGCTCGCTGGGTACCTGAACGTCAGGCGATTCTTGGCCCACGGCGTCCGCAGTTTCCACACCCCCATGACTCGACTATACGGTTGCTCCACAATGAACTCACCACACAAGAGCGGGGAAACCCGATTCCCTCAGTGAAGGCTGACAGAACAACCAGGCTGAACAGCGTTGCCTGCCTCGGGTCAGAGGGTTCCGCGGTCTCCATCTTGCTCCCAAGAACAAGCAAGTATCTTGGACCAACAGGGGTATGCAGGGCTGAGGGGGGGGAAGAGGCGAAACACGCGGAACATGAGGTGTAGGACGGGCTACTGAAAATCGGGAAATCCTGCCTTTCCCCCCGAAGGAACATGTATGGAAGAGGAGGAACAGGAGGAGGAGGAGGAGGAGGAGGAGGAGGAGGAGGAGGAGGAGGAGAAGGAGGAAGCTGAGGAGGACCAACGCAAACCCAACATGCGCCAACGATGACCCAGTACACCCTCCCGACCCAAGTCCCATCCACACAAGGCCCTGCAAACATTATTCTCCACTCTAGGGCCGCCCTTTGAAGCGAGCGCCCCATGGGCCTGCAATGCAGGGTAAAGGTTTGAAAAGGATCGCCCCCCCCCCCACACGCTTTCAGCCATTCGAGGTGCGAGATGGTACTATAAAAACATCAATAGGTGTCCAATGGAAGCCCGATGATGTTAACGATCTGCCCTCCATCTCTGTGATTGACGCACAGCTGCAAATATACGGCTGCTAAAGTTGGGGACGCCACAGTCGAGCGCGCCATGCTGAATGTGAGGAAACACCATCCATCGGAACAGCTGTCGCACGAACCGTAACTTCGATCTGTAAGATTTGTAAGAAGTTGTCAAACAACAACTCGATGGGGAAATATACACCCCCATATGTGTACCTCTTGGGAAACTTTCGGACGAATGCGTATGGCGCTAATGAAACAACCGCACTTTGAAAACGACCCGCCGCCCATCCGTGTAACCGTTCGGAACTGTCCAAACTCCTGGACCACGAGTGTAAAAAGACATGTCAAGTGGGGATCAACACGCCCGCTTTTCCGGCACGCCTGACTCTGCGGAGAGAGAGAGAGAGAGAGAGAGAGAGAGAGAGCGAGAGAGAGAGAGAGAGCGAGAGAGAGAGAGAGAGAGACAGAGATACACACACCAAGGGACGAGAGAGAGAGAGAGAGCGACAAAGAGAAAGAGAGAGAGAGACATACATATATATATACACAGAGAGCGAGAGAGATAAACAAAACGAGAGAGAAAGAGGGAGATAGAGAGCACGATAGAGGAAGATGACTCCACACACACACATTTATATATACTATATATACTATATATACACGAATAAGTATATATTTATATATATATATATACATATGCATATACAGACGTATACATAAGGGGTACGGGGTCGAAGGAAATAGGTGATTTGGAGGGACGGAGGAGGAGGAGGAGGAGGAGGAGGAGGAGGAGGATGTTTTGGTAGAAGGGAGGAGGAAGGAGGAAAGGAAGGGGAAGGAGGAGGCGGAGGAAGCTTGAGTAGGAAGAGGGGGAGGGAAGAAGGAGGAGGAGGATGAGGAAGAGGAGGAGGAGAAGAGGAGGAGGAAAGGGGAGGGAGGAGGAGGAGGATGAGATGAGGAGGAGGAGGAACAGGAGCAGGAGGAGGAGGATGAGGAGAAATGGAGGAGTGATGAAGGGAATAAGGGGAGGGAGGAAGTTGAGAAGGAGGGAAAGGGGGGACGGATGAGCAAGAGCGAGGGATGATGGGAGGAGGAGCAGGAGGAGGCGGAGGAGGAGAAGGAGGAGGAGGATGAAGAGGAGATGGAGGATGAGGAGGATGAGGTGGAAGAGGAGGAGGAGCAGGAGGAAGGAGGAGGAGGAGAAGGGAGAAGGAGGGGGAGGAGGAGGAGGAGGAGGAGGAGGAGGAGGAGGAGGAGGAGGAGGAGGAGAAGGAGCAGCAGGAGGGAGGAGCGAGGAGGGAGGAGGTAGGGAGGGAAGGAGGAGGGAGGGAGGAGGAGGGAGGATGACAAGGAGGACCACTGCAGGTCGAGAAGTCGAATCCTCCCCCTCTCCCCCCCCTGGCTGGCCGTCAGGCTGGGCCATGAGCTGCCGTGGCGCGGGTTTGGCCCTCCCCCCCAGCACATCTTCTCCCGTGGACTTTCAAAGCCCTCCCGTCGCCCTTCCCCTTCCCTCCCCCTTCCCCTTCCTCCCCCTTCTCCTTCCCCCTCCCCGTTCCCTCTCATCCCCCTTCACCCTTCCCTTGCCCTGCTCCCCCTCCCCCTTCCTCCCCAGTCTCTCCTCTCCAACCTACCCCCCGTCCTCCAGGGTGCGACGGAACGAGACCCGTTGAGGAGTGTACCCCCTGGAGTGTTGCGGCAAGGGGTTTGGCTACGTGGGTTGTAGCGCCTGCAGAATCCCTACAAAGCCCTTCCCCCTCCCCCCTTCCCCTTCCCCCTCCCCCTCCTTCTCCACCTCCTCGTCCTACTACTTCTCCTCCTCCTCCTCCTCCTCCTCCTCCTCCTCCTCCTCCTCCTCCGCCTCCTCCTCCTCCTCCCCCCCCCTCCTGGCGAGAGGGGGAGCTCAAGGAAGCTGCCGCTCGCCAATCCGTGTGTGGGGGGGGGTCCCTCGACGGGGGCGCGGCGCCCGACGGGGGTCGGCTCGGGGCTGTCGGCGGGGGCGGCGCCCCCCCCCGCGCGGATCCAAGGAGACGCAAGGCCGCCCTCGTGGCCACGGCCGGGGGCAGCTCGAGAACGCGGCCGAGGGGGCGGCCCGCTGGCCTCCCCGCCTGCTGGCCTCCCTCCGCCCGGCTGCCCAGCTCTCCAGGCAGCCACCTGCCCGTGCACACCCCGCCCTACCTGTAAGTCGGGCCTGTCCCTCTACAGGACGAATCTTCAAACTAGTTTTTTTTTTTTTTTTGTTTTTTTTTTTTTTTTTTTTTTTTTTTTTTTTTTTTTTTTTTTTTGTTTTTTTAATTTTTGCCAATTTGGGGGTACTTCCCGAATATTTTTTATTTTTCGCCCAAAATCCCCGTGCAGGGGGACACGCCCGACTTTACCCTATCTCCCCCCCCCCCCCGCCCCTCACCGACCCCTGCGGGGGCGGGGAAGGACTGCGCAATCGCATGCGGCAGGCGCTTCGCGGCCCCCTGCGAACCCGTACACCGAGGGCGCCCCCGAAGGCGGCAGGTGCACCAAGGAGCACCGGACGTGCACGTGGAGGGCCTGGTCCGCCTCCTTCTCCGCGATGCTGGCGAGGAGGGGCTCCTTCGTCGCTGGCTTACCTGGAGGGTAGATATGGTAGGAGAACCGCGCCACATAGCCGACGCATCGGCAATGTCGGTATGGAGAGAACTGGCCTCGGTATCGCGCGGCACCGCCGATGCATCGGCGATGCGGCGCGACCCTCTGACCCCATCCGCTCTGGCCCCGCTTGGGCGGCCTTGATTGGCATTGCCGCTGGGCTCGATGGGGACCTCCACGGCGGAGATCTTCCCGACCTTGCTGGTCGACTGTGAAAGGAGATGGAGTAAGCAAGCTCGGGTGCAAAGCCCTAGATGAGGATACGCTTTCCTCCACCTCGGGGAGGAGGAAGAGGGAGGAGGGAGTAGGGGGGAGGGGGGAGGAGGATTAGGAGAGGGGGAGAAGGGGGAGGGAGGGAAGGAGGGAGGGAAGCGCGAGGAAGAGGGGCCTGCCCCCCCGATCTGGTGGCCCTCTTTCCGAGCCCCGGGCGTCCGACGCCGTGAAGCAATCACAGCGTCGTGACACATGACGGCCAGGCCTCCTGCCCTCTACTATCTCTGCCTCACTTCTCCAGCCCGACCGATCCGTGAGGGTCCCGAGGCGGGGCGACGCGGCCCGTGAAGTGACCCGTCCACGGCGTCCAGACGCCAGGGGAGGGCGAACCTGGATGAGGAAGGGCGAACGATCTGGACGGTTGGGTCGGCCTCTGCACTTCAGCCCGCCGACCTTGAGCACTACCATGTGGGGCCGCCCAGGGGACTCGGGCAGCGCCTGCGCAGGAAGCCAGCCCCTCCCTCCTCCCCCTCCTGGCCCTGCTTCTCTTGCTCTTCCTTATCTTCCTCTCGCTCCTCCTCCTCCTCCTCCTCCTCCTCCTCCTCCTCCTCCCCCTCCTCCTCCTCCTCCTCCTCCTCCTCCTCCTCCTCCTCCTCCTCCTCTTTTCCCTCCTCGCTGGTCCTCATCCTGGTCGTCATCCTCGTCCTCCCTTCTCCTTCTTGTCCTCTTTGTCGCTCTTGTTTCTTCTTCCCCCTCCAACTCCAGTTCCTCCATCCCTCCTCCTCCTTCTTTCTTCCCCTGCTCTTCTTCTTATTATTCCTCGTCCCGCCTCCGTTCCCCCTCCTCCTTCCCCTCCTTCTGTCTCCTCTTTCCTCCCCTCCCCTCCCTCTCTCCTCCCTCCCACCTCCTCCTCCTTCTCCTTCTCCTCTTTCCCCTCCTCCTGCCTCCTCCTTCCTCTCCTACCCTCCCTCCTTCCCTCCCGCCTCCTCATCGTCCTCCTCCTCGTCCTCCTCCTCCTCCTCCTCCTCCTCCTTCTCTTTCCTTCTCCCTCCCCCCTGCCCCGGGGCGACGGGGGAGCGCCTGCGCAGGCAAGCAGGCCTGCTGGAACCTGAAACAATGGTCGCACAGCCGCCCTGAAGAAGGCGGGGGGGCCCAGGGGCAGCCAGGCGGAAAGATAGTGAGGAGGAGGAGGAGGAGGAGGAGGAGGAGGAGGAGGAGGAGGAGGAGGAGGAGGAGGAAGGAGGAGGAGGAGGAGGAGGAGGAGGAGGAGGAGGAGGAGGAGGAAGAGGAAGAGGAGGCGGAGGAGGAAGAGGAGGAGGCGGAGGAGGAGGAGGGACACACGTGACGAGGAATGCTTCAGGACGGGGGAGGACGAGGAGAGAGGATAGCAAATGCTGATGGTGATAGTGATGATGATGGTGGTGCTGGTGCTGATGCTGATGATGAGGATGATGATCGCCGCCCGACTAGGGGATATCTATCTATATGTATCCCCGCCGACAGCCTGATGCCCCCAAACGCAGTTGCAAGCTCCATGGCGATAACGCCCAGAGGTGGGTCATGCGTAAAACACAAACTTCACCAGCGCAATCAGGAATTCATGGGGGGAGCCTTTTCCGCGGGTCCGAATCGAAGAAAGCAACTATGTAACTTTCCCAATCCATTGTGCAAGTCTAGCACGAATTACTTGAATCGCTGGAGGGTCGGTTGACGAAGTCGGAAGAATTTGCAAGCACGGATTTGTAGCTGCTTTAGAGCAGCATCACGAGGGGCACCAGGGAGGGAGTAATACCGATCACGAGCACCCACAAGGGCCTAGAGGATCGAATCACGGTGGTAGGGGTCGGTGAGGCAGCCGAGGGTCACTTCACCCGTGCGCCAGAGGTCTTCCAGCCAACGCTGCTGGTCATCAAGGTCGCCTGAGAGTAGTTTCGTGCGCCCCTGAGCAGACCTTGCAGCCGCCGCAAGGGACCTGAACTTGACGTCGAAGTGTAGCGAATCCCTTTTCAGCTCTAGAGGGAGGACAGAGAACCTTGGGGCGCGGGTAAAGTGTTGATGATACTCGCTCTCAACGGCTTCTGCGGTGCAAGGTGGGTCCAAAAGCTGGGCCACGTGGCCAGCCGCTGGCGCCGCGTGCCAGTTCCAGGCAACCACAGAATGGACAACATTCAATCCCAAGGCTCCAACCATGTGGGTCCTTTCCTCGAGTTTCCCGAGGGCGGCACCCAAGATTTGCGAAATCCTCAGTCCTATGTAGATGTCGAGGTACTTGCCGCTATCTGAGAGCTTGAGAGCAAAAACATCCAGTCCCGAGCGTTGAAATGCCGCATGTACAGTAGCTGTATCGAACTGCATGTGGAACATGAGCACGCACTTGCCTAGGTTCAGCTCGAATCCTGTGGAGCACTTGGCCTGCCGCAGTTTTCTGACACAGATCGGGGGCACTTCAAACAAGCTGCGTGCCACTAAGCCAAAGGTCGTCAGCAAACGCGCACAGGACCAGATCGTGGTAGCTTTTCTGAATCAGCAATGTGTTGAATATCGGGTCCAGGACCCGGGCGAACGGCATTCCAGAGAGGGGGGCCCTGCTTCATTCCGCGAAGGGGCCAAACGCCAGAGGGGGGCGAGGCCCTGACGCTGACGTGCGTCCGAACGCCCACGTATGAAGCCATAGTCGCTCCCGCAGTCGCCGAGGGGATGCGCAGCTTCCCTAGATCAGGAAAGCTCCCCAACGTGGTGCGCGTTCGGGGACGCGTTTTTGACATCGAACAAGCAACTCCCGGACCCCTTCAACCCCGACGTGTGCGACCACCCAAAAATTCCAGGGCCCATTCCAATAATGTCATCAATCGTACTTCTGCCTCTCACGAACCCGCGTAGACACTTCTCGACTTTCTCGTTGGCCACAGCGTGAGATCTTGCTATCGGAGATGGCGAGGGAAAGCATGCGGGTCCGTTGCGCATCGCGGACTGCCGCGCCACCAGCTGAGCAATCGCCCTTGGGCGGGAAGACCGTCCCGCAGAAATTGACCCCTCCCCGATGTCCAATGCTCCATCGCGAGACGCATCCATTAATAATGCAAAAAGCCGTGGGCCATGCCGCGGGCCAGACGCCAGACCGAATCAGGGCTGCCGTCGGGGCAAAGGGTCGCATCTTTTTTGCGATCTTAGAGCTGCCGCGTGCCCTGAAAACTGGCAGTCCAATCGGCGCGCTGGCGGCTGGCAGATGCGCGCAGGTCGCCTTGCCCATCGAGCTGGCTGACCTGCGAGAGGAAAGACTTGAAGACTTCTGGGTGGGAGGAGGCGCCCGAGTGCACGTCGAAGACCTTCCCCCGCTACTTCGCTAGACGCTTGGCCATGGGGGTGGGGTCGGAGATAGAGAAACCTTCCTCAGTCCTCAGACCTGCCAGAGACACCCAGGGTCGTTTCGCGTTCCAGGCCGAGGCCAGCCGATGGATGTGAGCGCGGTTGGGCGCTTTCACCTCCTGAGAACTGACTTCCAAGATTTGCCTCTGGAGCGCCGCCAGGCCAATTCAGCCACTGGCGCTTCCGCGCATCGTGGTCGGCCAGCTTCGGATAGGCGCGGACCACTTGCGCTGCTAGGTGGAACTTGGCCTTCCGAAGGCACGGGATAAGCTTCAAGAGCGGGGGGGGGCTCTTCCCCGAGTCATCATCGTATCCCACCTGCGCAATGTGCCATTTGACCTTTTAGGCCGCGCGGTGGAATCTTTCATTGGGTTCGCAAAGCCTCTCGAAAGGGCCCCGGGGGAAGTCCTCTGGGCGAGGCAGCTCAGCGCGCGCATCGCGGAAAACAGGATACTTCGCAATCCGCGGGGGCGATCGACACACACTGCTGCTGAGACATGGGCTGGGCGGAGAGGGAGAGGAATACCGGGCCGTGATCCGAGGGGCGCGGAAATTTCGTGGTGGGCCGAGATGTCGACTGATAGTCCGTACGCATGGCGGTTGGACTGTGGATTCGTGTCCGTCTTGGTACGGTGCGTCATATGTGACGGATGCACTTCAGACTAGAGGAGGAACAGCTGGCCAACCATATTGGCAAACCGAGACGTACTATAGGACTCGTGACCTGTGAGGGAGTAGAAGCGTGACTCACCATTCTCTCAATGCAAGTCGCCGAATATGAACGTAGAAGCAAAGGACGATCGGGGGTGATATGCGCGCGCAGCGATGTGAAAATGGCCCTGGAGAAGGCCTCCGTCCATTGCGGATCGAGATGGACGCAGGCAATCTGAAGCACCTCATCTGTGTTAGACATCGCGGGGACCTATGCTCGCCCAGGTGCAGGCGACTCGAAGAACAGCCGCTGGAACTTCGTAGCGGGGGTGGCCGTCGCAATGACGAGTAACCCTCCCCCAGTTCCAACTTCCCGAGACGACCCGCATACCTTGATCTCAGGCATATCTACATCGATGCGTCAGCTTTGTTCCCAGGGGCTTCCTGGACACGCGCGGGAGAGGAGGTACTGAATGGACCTAAATTTAGCGTGACTGTGCTGGGTACTAGTGTACCGTGAGCAGAAGAGAGATTGCGCATTCCCGCTGCAGATAGAAAGAGGGGAGGAAGCAGACGGGGAGGAACAGGCGAATGAGGGTGGAGTCGTTCTCAGGGGGCCTATCGATCGGCGACCCCTCCGCCGAATCGGATCTGCGCGCGCGAGGGGGAGAGCACGGATGGCATGGCCCAGAAGGCACCGTCGACGGACTGCCCAAACCAGTCAAGGCCGACGCTGCACTCCCACTGCATCCCGAAGGTGTCCTGGAGGTCACGCCCTAGGTGTAGAGCGCCCTGTGGGTGGCATCCTGCGCTTCCTTGATGGCTTCGTGGTCCTCGTCCACCGTGATGCCCCAGTCCTGGCCGTCCCCGAGGTGCGCTTCGAGGGTGAAGTGCTCGACGCCGTTCTTCTTGGTGTGCTTGCTCGTGGTGATTAGGGGCCACGCGTTGTCGGTGGCCACAAAGCAGAGCACGCCTTCGAAGCCGTCAACTCCCAGACGGCGAGTGTCACTCCACCGAGGCAAGCGTATCGACAATGCCTTCATGGGGGCCCGCAGAGCGTGGAAGGCCCTCTTCTCCCGTCTGGCCGAACTCGAAAAGGGTGGCGACACTGTTTCCTGGCGTCAGCCCGCGTCATACCCACCTGGTTGTAACCATCTGCGAAGGCAGCAACGGTGGCGGCCGACTCGAAAACGAAGCTGCAGGTCGGGCTTATGCCATGAAAGGTGGGCGTCGCGCCCTGGGAGATGTACTGCGGGTACCTGGACTTCAGCGCCTCCCAGTGTGCACGACGGACACACTGCAAAACTGCACGAGGGAAGGTGCCGATGAACTTGAGGCAGCTGCTGGCGTCGGGGGTCGAACCCCCCACGCGCCCGCACAGCCCCCGCTGCGCGGGCACCGGTGTGGCGAACGATGGCCCCGTGCTCGCGTTTCCCCCCGCCGAGCTGGCTGGTGGAGTTGGAATACTCTGGACGAGTTCCAGCGGTTGCTCTGTCTGCTCCGTCTTCTGGCTGAGGAGCCCCCGCCTCCGCCTCCTCCTCCACCTTCTCCTCTTTCTCCTCCTCGTCCTCGTCCTCCTCTCCTTCTCCTCCTTCTCCTCCTCGTCCTCCTCCTCCTCCTCCTCCATTTCCTCCTCCCTGAGGAGGCTCGCCCTCTGGATCACCCACTTTGGCGACTCATCGTGGGTCTCGAGAGCTGTCTGCTGTTGTGTAATCGCCGCCGATGCACTCTCGAACCTCTCGTCCAGGGCACTCAGGACGGACGCTTGCGCTGTCTTCATCGCTTCATGGATCGACGCTGTCTTTGCATTCTGGATGAGCTATACAGCTGCTGGATCCATCGCCGTCGCGGCTTGTGTACAGGTGCGCTGGCAGCCGCGAAAAAGGTAGAGAAGTTGTGTGGACTTACCGTCGTGGATTCTTGCAGAACGCCAGCTGTGGCGGCGCACCGCGAGCCAGCCCTAGCTGCGGACACGCACAAAGCCGCAAGGCGACGGTTTCGTACTTGAGCCATACTGGCTTGAGCCGAACTGGCTACGCATGATGCTGATGATCATGATGGTGATGATGCTGATGACGATGGTGACGATGGCGATACTGATGATCATTATGGTGATGATGCTGAGGATGATGATGATGCTGATGATGATGGTGATGTTGATGATAATAACGGTGCTGATGAGAATGAGGGGAAGGCTGAGGAAGAGGAGGAGGAGGAGGAAGAGGCAGACCAGCGGCCACTTTTGAACTTTCAGGAACATATGATGATGCTGATGATGACGATGATGATGAGGGTCGATTGCCAAACAAGGAGAAACACGCATTACTCAGTTCTGCAACGAGGTGTCTGGTGCCAACTCGCTGGCACGAGTGCGGCCATTCAAGCACGAGGCTATCCACAACATGTAATTCAAGCACAGACCTCCCAATTCGAACACAGCTCGAACGAGAGCTCTGTGCAAGACTGCCCCCCCCCCCGCAGCACGCCGAAGAGCCCAGGACACCCGGGCGGGGACCCCCCCCCCCAAAAGCCTCCCAAGAAGCGAGAGCCGAGAGAGGAACGGAAGGAGAAGGCCGAACAAGGAGGGGAGAGAGCCAGGGTCGATGCCAGGCCCCTTGTCCCGCCCCCGCGGGGACGGAAACCCGAGAGGCCCGCGGGCAGCCCCGGGGCGCGCCCCACGAGCCCCACGTCGGCGGGCCAGAAGCCCCCCCCCCCCACCAGCGCCCCGAGTCGAGCCCCAGCGGCCACGGGGTCGCTCACGACTGCGGGCGCTCCGCTGCGTGCGGCGCGGTGGCCGCTGCGCTCGGTCGCGCCGCGTTGCCGCCGATGGCCGCCGGATCGATCGCCGGGCCTGCCAGCGCAGCGTCCTGCGGCGCCCCAGCGGCAGGGCGACGAATGAGACCAACAGCCTGAAGAAGCCGCGCCCGCTCCGCACGGAACTCCCATCGCGCCGCAGGGCTGCCGCAGCTACTCCGTCGGACTTCAAGGGAGGAGGAGGAGGTGGAGGAGGAGGAGGAGGAGGAGGAGGAGGAGGAGGAGGAGGAGGAGGAGGGGGAATGGAGGATGGAGGAGGAGATGTGGGAGGATGGATAGTGAAGGAGGGGGAGGAAACATCGCGACTGCTTCTGGCCCGTGGGGAGGCCTGGCTGGCTGTCCGAGGGCCCCTGGGGGCCTTCAGGGCGGATGTGCGAGCACGGAGCCTGATCCAGCTGTCCACCCGGTCGGCCGCCGGCTGCATCTCGGAGGTCGGCGCCGTCTGTCCCTGCTGGCTGAGCCGGCGCGCACCCTTCCCTCCTGAATGTTGCCAGAGGTTCAGGGGGGAAAGAAACACACAGACACAATTAATCGTCGACTCGGAGGAAATATGGGAAAATATGGGAAGTGGGGGGGAAGACAAAGACCCAGAAAGGCCAAGAAAGGCCAAGAGGCCCCCAAGATGGTACACGAGGGGTCCGACATGCCACAAGATCGCTCCAAGACGCCCAAGATAGCCCCCAGACGCCCCAAGAGGCCTCCAAGAGCACTCCCAATAGGGCCCCCGGAGGCAAAAATCATTGTTTTTCCATAGGTTTTTGAGAGATTTTGGAGCTTCCACCTTTTCGGCTTCCCGACGCCCCAAGACGGCCCAAGAGGCCCCCAAGATCGCCCCAAGAGGGCCCAAGAGGCACCCAAGAGGGCCCCAAGATGGCCCAAGAGGGCTCGAAGACGGCCCAAGAAGCCTCCAAAACGGTCCAAGAGGGCCCCAAGAACGCCCCCAAAGGGGCCCCAGAGAGGGAACACGAAACAACATTTCGAGCCCTCGGCCCTAAGAAGCCCCTACGAGGCCCCTAAGAGGCCCCAAGAGGCCCCCACGGGGCCCTCAGGAGGCCCCCAAGAGTCCCCCAAGCGGCCCCATGCCCCCCCGAGCGCCCCAGGAGTCCCCCAAGCGGCCCCAGGAACCCCCAAAGCGCCGCATTGACACCAGGCCCTCGGGCAAACGGCAGACATGAGACTGTATGGGCCGGCGGAATGAGCGAAGCGATTAAATATGGGAAGTGGGGGGGAAGACAAAGACCCAGAAAATATGGGAAACTATGGGGAATCTTTTTAGGTGTGTGTATTTATTTGTGTGTCCTGGGGCCCCTTCAGGGGTGCCTCCCTGGCCCGGGGTGTCCCCATGATCTCCGGGGAGGCGCAGGGGGCCTCCAGAGCACCCCTCATGAGGCCCCGAGTCTCACAGGGTTCGGTCGGGTCTGTCCTCCTACAGGGGGATTTTGGACGAAAAATAATCAATACCCCAAAAATGTTCCAAAGATGCCCAAAACAGTCCCAAAAGATGCCCAAAAGAAAAATAACATACGAACATATTCAAACAGTCCCCAGACTTTTTTTTTGTTTTACATATTTTTCTCCCCCCTGTAGAGTGACAGGCCCGACTTAACCCGAGTATCATAGGGCACGGATTCTTCCAAAAAGGGCGCGAAAAGCTATGGACACTCTGGGCCAGGATCACTTCGGGCAACTGCCGGGCCCTGCAACCAGGCCTCCCCCCCTGCGTCTCCCCGCGAGGAGGGTGGGCGAGGGCGGAGGAACGGGAAGAGACGGGAAGGGGAGCGAGGTGAGATGGGGGATGACGGGAGGGGGGGGGGAGTGAAGAGGGTGTGGGTGTGGGCACGTCTTTAGCCACCCGGCCTGCGAAATCGGCATCGTGTGAGTCGGAGGCGGGTTGAGCCCGGAACCCTGTGCTGCCTCTCCTGGACGCTCTCCTGCCAGCATGGCGACCCCTCACCTTCAGGAGGCGGGATAACGAGGATGAAGAGGGTGATGAGGGATTGAGCTGAACTGATACTTGAAGGCCGATGTTTAGGAGCAGTCTGAATGAAAGGCACTACTAGAACATTCGAACAGATGCGAGTTCGAGGGGGTCGTAGTGCATCTTTCCCAAAGAGAACGGCGACGGAAGGGGACATACACTCACCTCCACATTTCCAAGATCTCCAGGGAGGCCTCCCCTCCACCTTCCGCATGGCTTCCTCCATAGGGAGGAGTAGGGAATAAGCACGAGGATGGAGGTAGGAGAAGGGAGGAGGGAAGGTGAAGGGAGAGGATGGAGAGGGGAAGGGGGAGCACAGGACGAGGAGGGAGGCTGCGGCGCTGGATGCTGCAAGGCTGTGCGCCGGGCGGCGCCCTCATCCCCATCCTCCTTCTCCGCCTCCTCCCCCTCTTTTGCATGCTTTCTTCCTCTGCCTCGAGGGGATGGAGGATGAAGAGGAGAACTCGGATTCAAATTCGCCAGAGACCCAGTCAGCATGGCGACAAGGACACGCGCTTGCCCGGGAGATTCGAAACGCCACCGGCGCTGGCCATTGCCGATCGAGGCCACGTTGCAGTCCCACGAAAAAAGGCAGGATGCGTCAGAGGTCAGGAGCCCACCCCCCCCTGAACACCCGACGTCATGTCGTTTTTTGTGTCGTGGGGGGAGGAGGATGAGGAGGAGGAGGAGGAGGAGGTGGAGGAGGAGGAGGCGAAGGAGGAGGCGAAGGAGGAGGAGGAGGAAGAGGAGGAGGAGGTGGATGATGATGATGATGATGATGATGATGATGATGATGATGATGATGATGAGGAGGAGGAGGAGGAGGAGGAGGAGGAGGAGGGAGGAGGAGGAGGAGGAGAGGAGGAGGAGGACGAGGAGGAGGAGGAGGAGGAGAGGAGGAGGAGGAGGAGGAGGAGGACGATCCCAGGGCCAATTCTTCATCCCTGGGACCAGCTTCTCTTCCAGGGTCGCTTCTTGATGGCGCCTGGGACCGAGGCGGGCCTCCCAAAGGCAAGAGCCCAGAAAAGCTGAGACAATGGCGGCTTAAAATCGGTCACCGGACCCCTCCTGGGATCCAAATGCGCTGCGCTACCCTGGAAGAATAATGCCAGTCTCGCGCGCGGCCTGCCTCCCCGCGCCCCTCAATCTCAATGCTTACGCGGAGCGCCGCGCGAAACGACTTTTCTTTCGTCGGCCGCGGCTGGCTCATGATTGAGGGACAGGCCCGACTTAGCATCAGCTTTCCAAGGGGGTGCAACTTTTCCGACCTGCGCTCTGCCGGGGCGACGATGGCCCCCCCCCCCGAAGCTCAACTGCCGCTGCCTTCACCCCGTACCCCCGGCGTCGCTACCTGTTCACGACGTCGGCCCCTCGGAGCCAGGATCCCTCCCCCAGGACCAAACTTTTCGTTCCGAGTCGGTTTTTTGTTGACGGTCCCGAGGCCCGGCGAGGGCCCTCCCGCCGTGTTTTTTTCCACAGCGCGAAGGCGTCTGGCCAACTCGCCCTCCTCTGCGCCTCGACTCAGTGGCCCCGTCGGCGCAGAGCCCCTCCGAGTCGCTCCCTGTCCGCCGCGGAACCTCGAGGCGGGACTGGCCGCCACGCCACGGAGCTTGCACTGTTGAAGGGGCCCCAGGACACACAAATAAATACACACACAAATAACGGGATTCCTCGTATTTTCCCATAATTTCTGGGTTTTTGTCTTCCCCCCCACTTCCCATAATTTCCAATATTTTCCCAGGAATCGACGAGTAATTGTGTCTGTGTGTGTTTTTTCCCTCCTGAACTATGAGAGTGCTCGGTGCGCGCGTCACCCCTGGGGATGCGACGCGCACATCATAGCTCGTGCGTTGGCAGAACTGGGTGTCGTGGGACCCGTCTTAAGGATGTGTACTGGGGGTCGCCCCCCCCGCCCCGTTCCACTGACAGGAACTGCCATCACCTCAAAAAACACCAGCTACGGCAGACCTGGTTTAGTGATCCTGTCCAACTTAGGGGCCCCGGGGCCCTACTACTGACCGGGCCCCCTTACCTGGGGTCCTGGCGATACCCGAGCATCGGTATGTCGGGGGGCTGCCGACCTTGCCGCGCCGGCGGAGGAGCCACTCCGCGTCGCCTCCGATCCGCTGCGGCACCTCGAGGCCCGGCCAGCCGCGGAGAGCTCCTCACGGACCGCCGGCCCTCCGCCGAGGGCCCGGGGCGGCGCCCGCCGCCCGGCGTCTGCCGGGCGGCGGCGCCATGCGGCACCGCCCGCGCGGCGCGCGCGCGCGGCAGCGCCGGGCAGGGCGCGCGCCGTCCCGGCCCAAGACGCGGCAGGTCTGGGCGCGCAGGTTCCGGGCCAGACGGCCGCGGGCATCGAAGAAGAGAAGTACGCCCCCCGAGAGGTCCTTCGGCTCAGCGATCTGGCCCCATGAGCGTCTCCATGGCGACGGGGGAGGCGAGGATTAGGGAACTGCTGGATTTCGGTATGCCAGGACACCGAGATCCATCAGTTCAGTATGATCCTCGCCTCCCCAGTCGCCATAGAGACGCTCATGGGGCCAGGTCGCTGAGCTGAAGGATCTCAGGGTGCGTAAGAGAAGAACGTGCGCGTAAACTTTCGGAGCTCCGCGCGGACTTCTCGGATCTGCGCTGGGCCACTGGCGCCACCTGGCGCCGTCCCTGGCGAGCTCCGCACGCCAGGAAGGGGGGTGCAGCGCCGATCCGAGAAATCCGCGCGGACTTCCGACAACTGTTGCTCTCTGAGATCCGACCTTTTGAAACTAGTGCAGCACAATTAGCAACAGACCACCACTGGAGCCCTGGACCCCTTCTTCGGCGTCCTGGGCCAGAAACCGAGCGAAAACACCCGCTGCGAAAACACTGCAACGCCAAGATCTCAGGGTTTATACGGTCGGACCTAAGACAGAAACACCCCTCTCAAGAGCACGAGAAGAACCTGAGACCCTCCGCCGGCCAAACCACACAGCACATCCAAAGATACCCGCCGAGAACACCCAACAGACACGCAGAACGTTTGGGCACCCTCTCCGAACCGACCTCGACCTCATAGCTCGGTCTTCGGGGATCTTCTGACCCGGGTCAACCCAGACCCGGGTCAGTCAGGCCTTGCAGAATCCTGCAAGATCCTGCGCGACCCTGCACCCAAACCTGGGTCAATGCGAAGGATCCTGAAGGATCCTGCACCCAAACCCGGGTCAATGCGACCCTGGCCCTGCAGGATCCTGCAAGATCGGGCGCTCTGGCTGAGCCTCAGGAGGAGGGAGGAGGAGAGAGGAGAGAGGAGAGAGGAG